AATCAATTAGCACACCTTCTTTCTCTCTACTTCTATTCCACACATACCCTTTTTTCTTCATCATGTAGTAAGCCATTGAACAACTCTGTATTCTTCTCTCCTTCATTCCACATTTCTTCCCCTAAAAAAACACCCATCTTTTCTAATGAGACAATTTATGGAAGGGGATACGAGGAAGAGGAAGATAATCAAGGAGGACGATGATGAAGACGAAGATATTAAGATAGAAAAGTTCTATGCTCTTATTAGGAGTGCTAAGGATATCCGTGATCAGCTTCTTGATCCTGATGGATCGTTTAAATCACGAGCAAAAAAGGCGGTCGCTACGGAAAAGAAGGCAGAGGGTGTAAGAATTCGTGGGAATAATAATACTGATAAGAGTTTTGCAGCAGGAACAACAGCAGCCGTCTCGGCGGCGGCTGCTGCTGCTGTTTCTAATAAATCTGATGCCCTGTACACTAACCAGCGCGCTGCTGCTGTCAGTACGACAGCAGCAGCGGCGGGTGGTGCTGCAGGTAGGAATAGCAGATCATCAGCAGAAGAAAAGAGCAAAAAAACAGCAGATCAGAGTAATAATTATAAAGGGGGTAGAATTATGTTGGATCTTAATCTTTCCCTTTAATGATGTAATATTTCTTATAGGATGTAAACATTAGATTTTTGGGTATGTATCTTTCTAATAATAGTAATTCTTTTCTTCATTTTTTAATTTCCTAAGTTAGTAAAATTAGCCCATTCCCTGTTAAATCTGGGAAATTGAGGCTATAATTTCAGATCTAATTAGAAATGTTAAATTAAAAATTGAAACTTTAATTAGCATTAAGTTCATGTTGAAACCCTGTAATTTTGGCTCTCAGAAATATCAGCAGCTCAATTTGGTTATAGCCACATGTTTGATGATTCCATTTTACATCTGGATTTTGATGGTCGATTTTTTGGAACTTGCATTTATTGTCGGTTCTGAAATTAATGTATTTTGTAATTTTGAAGAGTTTTAAAATTAGTAGAAAGAAAACAAAAAGGATAATTTGTAAGTATGATGTAAGACAGTTGTATTTAGAAAATTAGAAATTCATTGTATTTTTTTGTATGACAGAAGAAATTTGTTTAGAATTTGGTACACCCAAGTGTATACGAGAAGTTGAAGCGAGATTTAATCGATTACTCGATTAGTGATGTTTGATATGTTTTCAAGTAATGCTATCTTCTTATACGTAATAGGCAATTCCCTTAGCTAAAAAGTTGCCATTTCACTAATTAAGGTACGATTTGTTGCATATTTTGTACTCATAGTATTATCTTCCAGAAAAATTAAAAAGATATTTCTGTATGGCAGTTAAATAAAAAGTAAGTTTTCTAAAGGGAGCTCCAATTTATGTTAATGAAAGAACAATATTTTTTTTTGACAAAATGAAAGAACAATATTGTAGCTAATGTTATTTAATCATATAAGCTAATGTCCTTTTTTTTTAGTAATCAATAATTTAATGACAACTATATACTAAATGCCAACCACCTTATTTTAAACCAATGGTACAGAGATATGAATAATGAAAAGAGCAAAATCTAGATTTTTTTTGTTTGGTGAAACTAGAAATCTCGTGAATAGGCCAGTGTTTATTTTACTAGTATTTGTATAAAATTTATTTAAAAAATTTCACTTGTTAGTTACATTTGAGCCTTGGTTCAGAAAACATTGGATTTGGGCAGGAACTCGAGCACCAAATCAATTATTTGAATTTCGAGTGAAGCTTAATCGAGCCTCGAGTCGTGATTAAGCTCGCCTTTAAGCCGAGCCTACCTAGGCTTGGTTCTAACTCTTAACAACCTAATCTGCTGCCCACTTCACCATCAATACTCACTAATTACATGTATAAGATTGATTACATTTGTGCACAAGTTGATTGAAAAGTCATGCAGGCAAGTAGGATACACATGTGCATATATCACATTAGCAATCTACAAGTAGTAAATTCACTGAAAAGTCTTAGCGTACAAGCAGAAGCAACAAACAAGCACAGTCATGCACGCATCACTCGGTCGAGTCGAGTTATCGTGACACCGAGAAAATTTGTTTTGTGTGGTAGAAACTTGAAGCAGCCTAAGAAATCCTGGCTGCTTAAGTATAGAAAAACTTAACCATGAGTCCATAAACTACATATATCATTAATATTGGACTTTTAAAAACAGTAACACCCATTTGCAGCAGATATATACAGTAATATCTATTGACAGTCAATATATATTGTAATTATTGGGGTAAGAAATAATTAGGAACTTGAAAATTATGGCCTAGTATTGTGGCAACAGAAAGTGATCAGTAATTTAAATAATGTTTTCTTCTCCAATATAATGGAATTTTGGAAGTTCTATATTTTTAGTCAGCTTGAATTACTGTATAATAAAGTTAATCATGTGCAAAAAAAATAAAAAAAAATAAGTGGATGCTAAACGCCCAATAATGGACATAACACAAATACACAATCGATTGAATTTAGATCTTTAAGAGTCTAAGTTAAATGTTATCTCAGTTCCACTAAAATTGTCTCATATGAACCAATAAGCTATCACAAAAAATATCAGTTCAAATAAGGCGATTTCTGTTAGACGGAGTAAATATAACGTGGTAATATTTCCAGAAAAGTAAAGTAGAAGTAAACGGTCACGGAGAGCCATCCAAGAGCGTGTACAAAGTTTCAAGTGAAATACCCATGATAGGACATCAGAAAACACGTTTGGTTGCACTGTGTAAAATGTAAATAGAGAAAATATGTAATGGTTCAAAAGTACAATCAAAAGTCATAAAAGTAACGGACAGAAGAATTAGGACCCAACAAGCAACAAGTGGTCATAGGGATGCCAGACATGGCCGAGCCCGGTGCACTTGTGAAAAGGAGGGAATACCAACTACGTTTTAGACCATTCTCAATCTTGCTTATTTGTGTTCGACCCAAAATCTTGACCAATAATGGAATTCAGCCCTTAGCCAAACCTACTGTTAATTTTTTTTTTTAATTTTTTTTTAAAATTTTTTTTAAACAAAACCTGTTGTGTTCGGCTTAATTTCATTTCAGTTCAGTTTCTAATTTCTTTCTCTCATAAACAATTCATTTCAGCTTTATTCAGTTCGGTTCGATTAAGTTGTTTTCAATAAACCGGAACATTCCCTAAAGATAGTTGACATTTGCTGCATAGAAATGACTCGCCTTCTATCATATAACTATTTTAAAGTTCATTGATAGAAAACTTAGGGTTCGTTTGGCGTCACTGTGGTTTTCTGTTTTTTGTTTTTAAAATCATATGATATCTTTCATATAATGAATTAAAAATTAGTCAAACTTATTAAAATCATGATAATTTTGAAAAATGACAACAGAAAAGTGAAAACACCTTTTTCTTGTTTCCTGTTTTTGGTTTTTGGTTTTCGAAAAAACATAAAACTAAAAACAAAAAACGATGCCAAACACGCCCTTAGATGTTGGTGCAATTTTGAAAGCTAGGAGTACAATACTTGCTTAACGTTCCTAAACAATTGATAAAGAATTTTTATTCGGTGTGTAGGGATATTGATGTAGTTGCGATTCGATATGAGATCATAGTAACAAACTAACAATCCATCTACCCCATGGCTTAATCAAGAAGGTGGAGAAATTAGTAATGTCAGATCATGTTCTAGCTAGTGAATTGAAAGTTCAAAGGTGTGTAGTGTTTTGGTATCAAATCAATATTTGGTAGGGTTTCTCAATCTTTACATAACTTTTATTGGTTTTAGGCCAGGTTGATTCATAATGATAAAGTACGAAGTACTATTTTTTATCATATTCGTCATGTTCATGTCAACCTTTGGGTTTTGAATTGCATTATTATTACTTTACCATTCTCGGGTTTGATGCTTATGTTTTATTTATAACTTTTCATTGTGTATGTACAATGAAACCTACACTATAGCCTCATATTGTAAAGTGTTAGAGATGATAATCCGATAAACTATGTGTGGGGCGTTTGATACGAGGGATAGGGAGGATAAAAGGATGAGACAATGATGGAAGATTATTGTAGGTTGCATAAGGATAAAAATAATGTTGTCCTTTGTTTGGTACGAATTGGGAATCATATGGGAATAAGTAAGATTTTTTTTTTTTTTTTTTTTTTTTTTTTTTTTTTTTTTTTAGGGAAGCAAGAAATTTACTTAACTACCCTTGTTCATATTTCTCCTCTTTCTTCCTTTTTTCTTTATTAAAGGCAAAAATGTATTTTGCCTCATTAATTTTATTATTTCTTCCTTTTTTCTTTATTAAAGGCAAAAATGTATTTTGCCTCATTAATTTTATTCCCTGACCCTTATACCACCTCCCTATTTATTATTTTAAAAGAATAACTTGCATTTTTATCTCTATCCCCACCTCCTCAGTTATCCCCATCCCCTTAAACAAACAAAAGAACATTTAAATCCCCTTCCTCTTTCCTTCTCTTTTTATCCCTCCAAACAAATACCTTCGGAAACAAAGATTACTTCTTAAAATATCATCATCAACATCATCCAAACAAAATCAAAATCTCATCCAATTATAAACACTCCACCTATACTTCGAATAACGTCTCATACATTGCATCTATTCATATTTAATTATATATAGTATTCAAAAAATTAAAATAACATCTCATTAATTTGTTTTATACTAATAACAGCGTCTCATACATTAACACGAGTGTATTATCAAAACAAGTAGGCAGGGGCGTACAATACTTTGAAGATAGCGTGAAATTAAACAAAGATACACATAAATCGTAACAAATAGGTATGAAAGTCAAAAATATAATATCTACCTTATAGAGTTTATTCATTCAATTATCCTAGTCCATATTCTGTCCCAAAAAAAAAAAAAAAAAAAAAAAAAAAAAAAAAAAAAAAAGGTAAAATCCTAGTCCATATCAATTCAACAGCAGTGGATATTAACAAATATAAATACATCCATATCTTTTCTTTTTCGTGGGCCTTTATTAATTAATGACGTGGATATTTAATTAATTATAATTAACTGTCAACGCGTTTTTTCCAAAATAAAAATTTACCATAAACATAAATTGATCACCGACTTAAAAGAATTTTTTTAACCGACATACGCACAATTTTATTTATTCATACTGTATAATACGGATCTTTACTTTGAAGAAGAGAGAGAAAATTGAAGGGTCCACTAAAATTCAATGGAGTTTTGAATAAAGGGCATTTTTTTGTTTAAGCAAGAAAAAAACCAATTCTTTTTTATTCGTCAAAGAATAAGGTAATAGTCAATTTATTACGTACTTCAATCAATTTTACTTTTTTTTACTTTCAACTGTTCATGATTTTGTACATGTTCTTTGATTTTTTTAGCCTAAGTTTTGTTGTTATTCAACATTATTGATTGTTAAATTACTTTATTGAGGTTGAATTGTGGGGAAATTTGTTGAAATTTAACTTGTTTAGAAAGATTTGTTCTTTGGTGTCAGTTTGTCGTTTAAAGGTCTAAACTTTAGGCTTTTGTGTCAAGGTTTAATTTGTAGGGTTTTACGTTGTGGTGTCTAAATTTATACTAATATATTAAAAGACGTTCATAACAATTTCTAAGTGTCTCCTATTTCAAATTTATTATTGTAACACAAGGTTACATGTGTTGTGGCTTTGTTTAGATTGGGTCGTTATTAAATTGTTAATTTTTGTCATCATTCTGAACTTTTTTTTTAGTAGTTGTAACTTGTAAATTATGAAGTATAACTTATATTTGTATTCGAACAGGTACATTATTAGTTGATATGGGAGAAGACAGACTTTATGTACTAGCCTTACCATCTTATGAACATGTCGAAAATCGAAAATCTACTAGAAATACAGAGTTGAAGAGCAATTTAAGCGTGTCACATGAAGAAAAAGTTGCAAGAGAACCTTCAAATGATCATATTGATGATACATGTTCAGGAGTTTCAGACTTAATTGGTGTACATGATGAAATTGCATCAAATAGTATGGAAAATAATAACAGAAGTAATACTAATGATTTAAGTGGTGATAATAAAGTTAATTCTGGTGAAATAACTTCAGAAAGTTCAGCAAATTCATGCACTGAAGGTGGAGGTTGTACTTCAGAGATTACTAGAAACATTTATGAACATGCTAGCATTACAGGGGGTTTAAAGATTAGGTTTAAGATTAAGAAGAATTCGGAGGAATGTAGGAGTAATACGTCGGCCTCTGAGGCTCGAGTTTTCCTGAATGGGACTCATGATGGTATATCTTGGACTAATCTGAGCCTAGCTGATAAACATGATGTTGATGAGCTAAGGGGTATTGAACGAGGTGCATTGCCTGCAGAACGTGTAGGGAAGGGTGCGAATCAGGATACTACCTCATGCATTACAGGATCAAAGAGGAAAAGGGTGACATTGCCTATAGAACGTGTAGGGAAGAGAGCGAATCAAGATACTACCTCACGCGTTACAGGATCAAAGAGCAAAAGGGAGGGTGGTGGTGGAAAGAGGAATGACAGTTTGCATAAAGTGCTATTCATGCCATATGGACTTGCAGATGGCGCTTATTTGTCTTACCGTGTTAAAGGACTGATAATGCTTGAGGGATACAAACAGGGTAATGGTATTTTCTGCAGTCATTGCAGCAGTGTGATTAGCCCTTCTCAGTTTGAAGCTCATGCAGGGATGGCTATTCGAAAAAAGCCCTACCAACATATCTATGATGTCAATGGGATTACACTCCATGACTTGGCAGTTTCTCTAGCTGAGGGACAAGATCAAACCAATTGGAAGAACAATGATGACAGCAGACTGATACGAGCTGATAATTCTGAAGTTGATTATGTTGATCCTTTGAGTAAGCCTAAGAAGCCACCTGTCATCAAACTGCAACGGCGAACTGTTAAGAAATCTGAAATGGATTATAGCAGTAACTGTTCTCTATGCTCGAAACATGATTATAGTGTCAACACATTTGATGACAGAACTGTTATAATCTGTGACCAATGTGAAAAGGAATATCATGTTGGTTGCTTGAGAGGGAATGGGCGTTGTGATCTGAAAGAAATTCCGAAGGATAAGTGGTTCTGCTGTCATGACTGTGACAGAATTTCTGTTGCTCTGAGGGAATGTGTTGCCAGAGGCTCACAAGTGATTCCATTTTCCGAAACAAGCAAAATTAATAGGGATGTTGTGAAGAAACAATCTCATGAGGGTGCTGATACTGAAGTACGATGGCGTATAGTGGGTGGGAAATCTTGCCCTCCTGAACATCAGCCTTTGCTGTCTAAGGCAGTTTATCTAATTCGGGATTGTTTTAGTCCTATAACTACACCAAATGGACGTGATCTTATTACTTTGATGGTCCATGGCAGAAATATTTCTGGCCAGGATTTCGGAGGAATGTACTGTGTGTTTTTAACTGTTAAATCAACTGTGATTTCAGTTGGTCTTCTTAGAATACTGGGTAATGAAATAGCTGAGCTTCCGATTGTGGCAACAAGAAAGAAGTGTCAAGGAAAAGGGTACTTTCTAGCTTTATACTCGCGCATAGAGGAGTTGCTATCTTCTTTGAAGGTGAAGAAATTAGTGCTTCCAGCAGCAGATCATGCTAAACATATGTGGATAAACAGATTAGGTTTCAGTGATATGAGTGAAGAAAACTTGGCTACGTACACGAAAATGTACCAGTTGACACAATTTAATGGAACAGTTATGCTGGAGAAACAACTGGAGCAGCAGATAGATTGTTTAGAACCTTTTTCTGATGCCATGAGTCATTATAATTTTCAGCTAGAACATATACAACCATCCATGACCGACAGTTCGAAGTAGGTAGCTACTTAGTTAAATTGTTAATTTGTTCAGAGATGACTGATGTATATATATGGTTAGCACAAAAATTGTTTGTGTTTTTGGTTTGTTCTTCGCTTATTTTTTACTTTTTGAGTTCTTATTTGCTCATTCCAATTTCAAAACGAGTCTTTCATTAAGATACATTTCATATTGCTTCTTAAATCATAATATAAAGTTCAAAAATTCTTTTTTTATGAACTTACCCAGCAAAACATGTGCTAATTCCATGATAATTTTACTCATTTCTGACAAAAGAAATCAAATGGCACCTTAGGAGTTAAATACTCCATAGAAAGTAATCTTTTGGCTATGATCGCGTTAGCCGCTTCTGTATAATGTATTCCATCCCAACTTACGAACTGAGATCCATTGCTACAAGCCTGAGAACCATAATTGCCACAAGTCATCTGTATGTTATAATTATATGGAGGCCCCCCAGCTCCGCAACAAGCCATTAATGGACTCTTGAATCCTGCATAATCACACACTAATCACTTGTTAATTACAACATTAACATCAGCATCAAATCATATACCCACCACTACCCTAGCTTCTTGCATAACTTACCGTATTTCATGCCCTGGCTTATTAAGTCGTATTTGATGGAGTATATGTCAACATGGACAATCGTAGCACCTACTAACTCAGATTTCATCTGTTGGCACAAATGAAAGAGTGCTGCATTAAACAGTTTTGCAGCAGAGTTGTAACTTGAGATGCATCCGGAGGCATCAAGATCACCCGCCTTGTGTTGAACTAACCAGAGCTTTTGAGGTAAACAACCTAGCGGCCCAGTGTTCTGAATCCAAAATCTTCTTCCCCCTTGATCATACAATCCCTATACATGCATTTAAACAGCAGAGGACTAAGAAAAGAGTGAGAAAATTTAGGAAGACTAAATCATCCTAGAATTGATGTAAATGAGATTCACCTTCACAGCTTTCTTGATTTTGTCAATAACCAGAGGAATTCTTTTAACAACTTTTGCATATGTAAGATTTTTGGAAAATAAGTCAGCAAGATCATTTTGTCCAATATCTATCATGTAGAGTGCATTTCGGAATCCTTCTTCATCAACGTATCCTTTCACCCCTGTTATATGTCATTACATGAAAACGTTATGCTACTTACGCGTCATTGCTTACATAACAGAAAGTGACATTATTGTTTCATTGCATAATACGGTGTTGTCAATAGTACGCTGTATAAATTAGACAGCTGCAGTTAACTACCTGAAGCAGCAAGTTCAAGGGATCGGCTTTTGAAGTGAAGAAATTGCATAACCTGAACGTTCAAGGCAAATGGCTTAAACTCCGGGAGTGTTTTGGACCCTACCACTGCAAAATTTGCCCCATTTTGGAAACTCGACCCCATTGGATCCAGGTATGGCCTCAAAAATTTGGTATTCAAACTTTGGCCTGCATTAATCAGCATATGGTTAAGAATTAACTAACACTGATCGATACTTTTTTTAATGAGATGTATGAACCGACATACATTGCATAGCAGATCTCAGGGACAAACAATTGATTATTTCTTTGTGGCAGTAGATCCACCTTCAGCAAAAATATCAGAGTAACAACAGATTAAAAACATGGGAGGCTGCTATCATGTCTTGTCCTTAGTCATTTGCACCCAAAAATAAATTTGTCATAAACCAAAACTCCTAATTATGATATTATGGAATCTACCAAGCTATGTCCTTAATTTCAGAAATAATGAAACGAATGTGTTTAGTTACGTTCCAAGTAAAAAGTTCAAGAAACCTTATTCAAAGTTTTTTCAAAATTGGACTAATACAGGTCATTGTTTATTTGTTTCCAAGATCACAAGTCTCTAAATGCAACAATTGCTCTTATAAATGGACAAAATACAAGCTACCCTTATTTTATTTTAGTGTGACATGCACATAACGAGTTAATGACATAATATTACCTACATTATTCAGATCTTTGGTACAGAACTTTGAGGGCCAGAAAAGTAATGACTTTGGATCTACCATGTTCAAAACCACAAATAACAGGTTAAAGCACTATAACTATAACATGAGATGTCCAAGTTCAGATCTTAGGTAACGGTCGGATTTTATAAAAGACAGGACTGGGTCCAGGGACATCAATTAATGGGAAAGGGCGCAACTTCTCTCATTCAAAATTTGAGCAAACTGCATTAATGCCAAATCTACCTAGATCAAATGAATGCCAAAATTTTTACTCCTTGAATGGGCATAGGATGGAGCACTAAGACACGGAGTAGTTTGAAATCTACGCCTATACATTCGGAATCATTTATACTCTCTGTAATTTTACGGGTTACTTTTTATGCTCTAATGTCAGGGGTCAATTAGGAGTTTCTCGTTCTAAAAAACTATGAACGAGTAAACAAATATTTTCCCAGTTTTTTTTTAGTTGACACGTTTTTTTAGTCACGTTTGTCAATGCACAACTTCAATCATTCATATCTTTAATTACCAATAAGCAAAAATCGTAAAAAGTTGATATCGTGACGAATATGACTATATTTTTCATTACGTATAAAGCACAAAACACGGTCAAAGAGGATTGTGTGAATAGTGCTAATATAAAGTTAAAATGTGTCAACTAAAAAAAACGGGGGTAGAAGTATGTTATTACTAAGGCTACGGTTGTGACAATCTCGTAATTTTACTACAAGTATACATTGTTACAAATTAGGGGTAGTAAACTACGAGCCAAAGAACTAGCTTGTGAGGCAATTAAGGCGCACTTAACTAGCTAACTACGTACTTATGTACAAACGTGAAGCGATTAGTCACTAAGATGATTTAAATAATGTGACTATGTGTCAAAAAATGGTTTAATCTCATCCTTAAATATTAATTTCACTACTTTACCAATAACATAAAACATAAAGAGTACTATTATACAAGTATTATTTAGGGGGACAAAAAAATTTTGGGGTTTACGTAACCACACCGAAAAAGTTTGTTAACACTTAAAAAACGGATCATACAAAAATAAACATTAATCCGTACCAAAATTTTATTTTTTGAGGCGTACTATCAAACTTTTCAAGTTGAGGCGTACTATCAAACTTTTCAAGTTATGACAACAAAGTTTAAATGATACGGAGTACATAATTTTGAAGGTAGATTATTTAAGGACGGAAAGAGTAAATAACGGGCAAATGCCAACTTACAAAGAAAATCGAGGATGAGGCGGCCGTCGGAGAGGCGGCCAGTGGATCGACCAAAATAAGTGCGGCCATAAGGAGAACTGACCGAATAGCCGAGGCCGGCAACGAGTCCACCCGTGTCGGAGTTAGAATCCCCAAAGCTAAAGATCACCGGAGGTCTTAAACACCCACCAATTGCATTACCAAAATGACACCCCATTACTATAAATGCTACCATTAATGACAGTAAAACATACTTCATCTTTACTAAAAATAGTAAGTAACCTTTATAATTCAAAAGGTTGTTTGATTTCCTAAATTTAAAGAGGGAAAAAGTAGAAGAGATACTCTGGCTTTTATCAGGGGCGGAGCCATGTAGGAACAAGGGGGGACGGTTGTCCCCCCATTTTTCCAAAAAAAAAATTAATTTATGTTAGCTTAAATAAATGCTGTAAATAAGAATAAATACCTTACATGTATACCTTATATAACAAAGACAACATTTGGTCTGGTGGTTGATGGGCTTGAGTAAAGCTTGTATTTCTCTTTGATCCTAGGTTCGATTCTTTACCCGATCATTTTTTTTGTTTCTTTTTGCTATTTTTGGACTTTATTTTTATTTCATTTTATAGTTTAGACAAAGTGCTCCTATTTAACTTCTTTTTCTTGTTTTTGGATTTTGCCATTTTTTTTTTTACTGGTTTTTAAATTTCATTATATAGTATGTAATTTATATATACAAAGTATTATAAGTCTTCAAACCTCTAATTACTCTCATTTAACTGTTTAATCAAGTATCGCCTTGTTGATAGTGATTACTAATGTGTTATTAAACTATTTGTAATGAACACATGTCTCCGTATTTTTTTATCTCTCTAATTATGTGTGCCTAAATTCTATTTTTTTTATAGCTTGTTTGGAACTAAGTTTCCAATTTTATTTTTAGTCAAAGAAAGTTTATTTATTTATTATTATTTTTTTTTTTAAATGTAACCCAAATCCCTTTACATCTACTATCAATTTGTGTAAATGCTTATCATTTGATAAATCATATTTATCGATTATTAAGGATTACATACCTTAAAATTGGGGTTTACCAGCATAAAAAAAAAAATTTGGTTAATAAATTTCTTAATATGCAATTAATTTTTTAACAACTCCTCTTTCACCATATAAGAATAATTGTCATATCTCATAAGCGATTTCAAATATATATATTAAACAATTTATGTGATCAATTTCTTTTTTCTTATAATTATTGTCGATTATTAAACATCTAAAAATTGTCCCCCCGATTACAAATCCTGGCTCCGCCACTGGCTTTTATAGGAGTGATAAAATGATGGGGTTATAAGCTTATAGCATAGCTTGTAATGTCGTTAATGGTGATAAAATGGTAGTAATTTTATGATTGTTAGTGGGTCCTACAGAAACGTCGGCAATTTTAGGAAATTGGGAAAATCTTACTGAAACTTGGAATTGGATATTGCAGAGGAAAGAGAAGATTTAATTATGTAAATGGATAGAGAGAGAAACTAGGAAGGAAGGATGATTTACTAATGAACTGGATTACAGAGGTACCTGAATACCTGTGCTGTTGTACTATAGGACTTGTTTAACAATTTTGGCTGCTTGGACTGCTCCCATAAATAAAAATACTTCATCCGTTTTTTCAATTATTGAAGCAATTAAAATATACTTCCTCCGTTTCTTTTTAGTTGACACATTTTTTTAATCACGTTTGCTAATACACAATTTCAACCATTCATATATTTAATTACCGATAAGCAAAAATTATGAAAAGTTGATATTTTGAAAATATATATTGTATCCAATTTAAGAAGAGTCCACATGACTATATTTTTCCATTATGTAGGTCAAAGCGGAGAGTGTGAATAGTGCTAAAGTTAAGACGTGTCAATTAAAAAAAAACGGAGGTAGTATAATGTACGAGTAACACATTTCAAAGGATTAATTTAAAAGTTGTAACATGGAGTCCATGAAAATCATCTCACTTGACTATATTTTTCCTAGGTGAAAATCACAATTCTATAGAGTTTGTAACATGGAGTCGGTGAATTATTGTTGCAAATACTTAGTATTAAATTATAGAGGTAAAAAATTGGAAATTCTAACATAACAAAATTTCTCTTACCATCTTAATAATAATAATAACAATAATAATAATACTACGAGTAATAATAATAATAATAACTAGTTAACTACTCATAGTGAATTAATATAGTGTACCGACATTTCTAACAATATTATGGAATAATAACAAACTTTGTACAATACTACATTACTACGTATGAAGCAATAGTGTTTAATTTCATGTGGGCAAATTTAGGAATTAAGACCCTTTTTAGACGGAAGAAATAATAATTTTGGCTTTTTTGCTGTAATCTAAAGGTCCAGCACTCCAGTCTTAATGTTTCTTCAGGATTATCTTAAGATGTACTCTGTAATTGCCCCTTACAGATACGGGTTTAATACGTTTGTTTAGCATTAATTTTTGATACTTTGTAAATTAAATGACCTTTAATCTATGCTTAGTGCTTAATGATTTTCCTGGACTTTACTGCATTAGACATTATAAATTCAAAACTTACCTTGGATCAATTATCCACTGATTAAGTTTGGCTTTTGGCTTAAACCCGCGGACAATTATTAATACAAATTGAAAATAATGTCCATCACATAACAATGAAGGCAGCTCTTGTTTACAATATCTCTAGCCAGACTGCCAGAGTCATGTACATTCTCCAAGAGCTTGGTCTTATCATTCATCAGAACCGCGATGGCAGGATGGGAGAATTTGTCTTCAGCTTTGTAACGGGGACTTTACATAATGTACCTTACAGTAACAACTACTCCAAGAGAGTTGCACTAAAACAAGATCATGGTAATCTAGCAATTCCAAAAATTTCAGCTAGATTTGTAGCACCTGATGCCCATGAGTCATGGATGTACATCAGTAAAAAGAAATGAATGGGCCAGTGGTTAAATAATAAGGGGGGAATCCTCAACTATAGGTTGTTCTCCTTCAAACTCGGAGATTACAATCAGTGAGTCAGTCATATCGAGGTTGAGAGGTTGTGTTTTGGGGTTTGGATTTATAACCTGCAGTAAAATGATTTATGATTAAGAATTCATTTAGCCAAGATTATCTAGTACTGTAATTCAGATGTTGAAATACCGTTTTATCGTTTTTCACATAACCAATGGCCACTTCTCGCCTCAAACATGCCCTTTCAGACAGCTCATTGAAAGATGGAGTTTCTCCCTCTTTCATGTACAAGGCAATATCCTGCAAAGTTAACAAGAATGAAAGTTGGAGCCTGAGTCAGATAAATCAACTTGACTTAGGATATGGACTATTATAAAGGATACAGAGTACTAGATAACTATGGTAAGTCTAGGAGAATGAGCTAAAACAAAGACAGTGGCCATCGCAAAGTGAAGTTCTACAACGACTAGTTCTAACCAAAAATTTCAATAAGATTGTTTTCCTGAAGTTTAAATCCATTTATAACATGCATTCCTAAACATGATAGCAGCAATTAACACAAAATCCTCAAGTAACATGCATCCCTAGACTCAATGCCCGTATTAAACATAACAATACATTCGGTAAAGCAGTAATGGAGTGATTAACAGAAACATAGGAATAGCATTCTCAGGACTAGCTGCGTGTACCTTGACATATATTTCATCACCATCAGCATCCAAAATGTCTTTCCATACTCCATTGAGTTCACTATTCTCTGCAACTGAGCACAGAATAATTTCCTCTTGAATTAATATTGAAGGCTTGCAGTAAATGAATTAAACACACCAAATACAGCACAAAAGCATTTAATGAGAACAAGTAGCAAACCGTGAGCAGTAACGAGACTCATGAGTTCCTCAGCGGCAATATAAGTCAGTGATGGCTTTATTTTTGTTACCTGAAGATGCTTGAACAGATAAGTTTGTAACTACAGACTCATGTTAGATAACTACGTTCTGCTACGTGAAGACTTACTTGTTTTCCAAGTTTTGAGTCAACTATTTCAGCAACAAGATTTTGCGCCTGTAAGCATTACAGATAATTTTTCAAATATGAATATTAACTTCATTAGGCAAGCAAGTACAAGGGTGACTGCAAATTGAAGCCTTCGAAGTTGAAGGACTCGAAATCAGACCAGAGAAAGACTAGTAAGAAAGATTTTTTTTTAATGTCAAGACAACACATTATGATAAGATAAGATGAAAAGGGTCTTGAGAGAAACAAAGCTATCTCACCTTTACTCCAAGATTACTGCAAACATTTTCAGCCAAGAGAAGAGCAAATACAGAGTGCTTGTCAGCCCTGGATGGATCTGAAACAAAAACGATAAACACAAACACAAAGCAGACCTACTCAATCACTAGTGACATAAGATTCTCACCTCCGAGTATCAACTCTTTATCAGAGATTACAACAATTGAGAATGGGATCTCTTCATCTGTTTTTGTAGAAGTTTGGGTTCTTAATACTGCTTCCTTTAAGGTATCATAATCCATAGGGTTTCCAACCTGTAAAGAAAGTAGTGCAGTGCAAGTTGGTAAGAAAACAAACACAGCTAGTATTTACTGCTAATTGACTATGCGATTGAGGCTCAAAGGGTTACCATATGGGATACTTGTATGTGTTCGAGTTTCCCTAGACCAACAAGTCTGCTTTTCCTCTCTTCTAATGGTACATCAGACAATATTTCCTGAATTTGAGAAGATAAATTGAGAAAATATCAGGTACAAAGCTCGTTCTCATCATAACAAAATTCATACTTAGTTTCCACCATCAACTAAGTTCATGTTTATGGACCTGTAATCTACTATACAGCTTATATGTGAGCAGATGACAAGCAAACTCTGAGACTTTAACTAAGTAAATTTACATTTTTAAGCCACCATCACTGCTTGCATTGTTATGACTTTTTTTCTCTTTCATACGCCAACACAAACACAAAACTGGAACCACAAAACCGAGTCATTTGGTGCATCTATATAACATTAAAAAATCTGATCAAAACAGAAGTCTAAAAATCACCATTCAAAACACATGAACTCCCTCTGTCTCTAGATAATTGTCAACCTTCACATTTGTTAAAGAATGACATAAAGGGGACAAGACACAATAGTAGGGCAAAGGTGCTACAGAAAGGACAGAATTTATCTTGGAATTAAAGATATTGGTTTCCACCTATCTATCTTTGGTAAAGGAAAAGAAAATACAGCCACTTTCAGGAACATTTTTGAGTTTATTTTACCCACATTATGAGTACCATCACAGCAGAGGTATTCAATACGAATATCTGATTTGAGAATTTTAGCATACCAGTGAACTTCCAGGTCCTAGATAATTGTCATATTCTTTAATCATTTCCGCAATATTTGGGCGCCAACCTATCAACAGTATGCTTTCTTTTGGCCCTACAGTGTAGTCTGATGCCTGTACAAAGGCATTAAAACGCAGCAGTGAGTCTTCTTCTAGTTCCTTTTCCCCTTTTATAGTTATATGAAGTATATAATTATGTTTATATTACAACATACCTTAGATCGTCGTTTGAAAGGACGCTTTTGTGTATTTTCACGACGCACTTTCTCAATTGTTGACATATCTTTGACAGAGTCAACTTTAATTCCCAGGTACTCAAAGTTGTGAATCTCCTTATTCACTGCCTCTATAACACTTGAGCAGGAAATTTGCGGCTTTCTTGTCCCATAAAGAGGAGCAATGAATAAAACCTAAATCATACAAGTAGGAATGTCACAAACAATGAAAGTTGACAGCTAGAAGCAAAGTGACCATTTCCACTTAAATGATTTATGATAAAAACTGAGAACAGTGGCTCTTCCTCTATCTACAAGTGCCACAAGAAGGGTTTCATTCTCATGTGTTTATTAGTATTCTGATTTTCATTTCATAGCCATTTATGTTTGATAGCACATAGAGCACTGATAAAAGGATAACTATAGATTTCTGTTAAGTCGATATATCACGGATCTAAAAATAGCATAAAAGTCTTCAAATAACATACTTTGTCAGTTTCATTCAAGACCTCCTCATCATTTGGATGAAAGATTAGTTCCCCACTTCGGTAAAGACCACAAACAATCACCTGGAAGAGACAGTAGATAAAAAAAATTAGCCAATAATCATCAATCACAAAACCTGTAGGCCAGTAACTAGCAAATAGTCATTTAACTTAAAGTTTCATCAGACAGATGTTTACCTCTTGTAGTCCACGTCTAACTTGCCAATACTTCACTCCAGCAAGGTCTGGGAAATCACAAAGATTAAATACATTTTCTGCAATGGGAGACAAATAAAAAAAGGTTAGTAACTAAAGTGAGAAAAGACTATAAACAACTAGGTATTGATTTAATACGATCACAGTATGAGAGTGAGCTAACTAGCTCAATGGCTAAGCCATCGATGACAGTAGCATTTAGATTTGTACGATACAAGAGTAAGATCTGGTTGCAGCAACCACTCCTTGCTAGGCAAATCAAAGCAAGGAAAATGGGTAAATAGCTAGTAGTGCACAGCATTGTTGGTTAGCTACTTACAAAGTGATCAAGGAAACATCTCTATGTACATGACATGGAAAGTGTTTATAAAACTTCACCTCACTAGGTCAATACAAAGAGGGTACTAGCTAAAAAAGTCTCTTCCAATGAAAGCAAGATGCATTATAACTGTATACACACAAAATTTTAACTTAAAGCAACTAAAGCCACGCGATTTCCAATGAAGAATACACCATAATATACACTGTTAATCTGCAAGACAAGATGCATTATAACAGTATACACACAAAATTTTAACTTAAAGCAGCTAAAGCCACTCGACTTCCAATGAAGAATACACTATAATATGCACTGTTAATCTACAAGACAACATCAAGATTACCGTTAATCCACAAGACAACATCAAAAAGTGTTACAACTTAATAAACATATACAATACTTTTGTAATTCAGCAAGTGTTGATAGATCTCAAGAAGCCCTTTCTGTCGGGAGCACTGAACAAATAATTTGGAAGACACATTTTCTACTGGTGCGACTTTGAGCCCTGATATTGATTTCAGCAACTCACATGTACTGGGATTAGAAACCTGCATTAGAAAGATTGAATATGAATACAAGCTTAAGATCATGCTCTAAATTCGGACAATTCCACATAAACATACATGTAGTAATCAAAATTTAAAGACTTGGACTTAGTTTTATAAGATAGACCTCCACAATGGTAGGTACATTTGAGATTTCTGCCAGTGGTTGTAATGCCAGCACAGACAGAAATGCATCTGTATCAACTTCATACCTGGTTAATGGAGAAAACTGTCAAACACAATTTTTAATTTTAATCTTGAGAAAGTCTTAAATCATAAGCTGTGAGACTATACTGTTATTCGGAGAATCATGGTAATGAGTTATCAACAGACGTTTTGCAAAATATAAATATAAATATAACAGATAAGTTATCCAGGCCATACATTGGATCATAGGCATTAATCTCACTTTTTCATATCAAATAAATAAAAAGTAAAAACTACTTATATCAGATCACATGTAAGGTTTCACCATGCTGACACAGGAAGAAGATGAGTTCAGTAGTTGAAACTTTACAAGAAACAAAAAGCCATGTGATTATATTCGTGTAGCTTGGCCGTTAATGGAGATGATATAAATTTCCTTTTATGATCAGGTTTCCTCATCTATTTTATCTTACAGTCATTCATTCCACCTTTTTTTCTGCAATTTATGAGAAGGCGGTAGAGACTAATCCTATGAATGCCAAATTTGAGCGTAAGCTGCATACCATCATGATAGGAAATTAGGATTACTTCACTGCTAAAATAAAATTGAACCTTCTCAATAATATCCTCATGTAATAAATTTCCTTTTTGGCAAGTAATGTTATGATATCATGAGATAAAACCTTTCATTTGTTATTGGGATACTTAACCTATCTCTTTGTTAATGGTATAGGAAATATAAAGGTAGATCCCTTACTGAGATACAGAGAAATCCATGGACTTCTACTTAATTTTTCCTTTGATATCACATCTTCATCTAATCTAATCTTTAGCTTCCAACCTTCCTTTCTCTTGTTCAGTGTGATTTCTTCTTTCGGCACAATATATAACCTAACCGGAAAAACAAGGATGTCTCACCAATGATCAATCGTCCAGGAAGTTTATATTAATTGTAGAAATTTGAAATTTGAAAATGTTATCAGTGGTTAGGGCATTCACATCTCTAATGCCTTTTACTTCCATATGAGCTTAGGGAAAGAATTGAAGTATCTAAAAGACTCTTCAAGAGTTCTCCTCCCTCAGTGTTCCATGGTAGGGTGGTTTAAATGTTAAAAGTTACAACTACAAGGGAAATCAACACAAATGTAAGACAATAGGTTACCTTGCTGAAGTATATTAACACTATAGCTATTATTTTAGATGTGTCCTGCACAGAGCTTATAGCCACTTTATAAACCTCAAATGGAATTTCCGGCCACCGGTAAAGTATCGAATACTTGAAGGAACAACACAAGCACACTCGCATCACCTCAAGGACAGTTTTAGTTTCAAATTTTGCACTGTTAGCAAACTAGGAAAGTTTGCATGATGCTTGCAAGTCTTGGAAAAGTATTACATGATGAATAAAGAGATGCCTTACCTATCTCCTTTTGTAGGCAAAATAATTACAGCACGGGCCTTATTTGCTGCAGCTCTTTCAAAAGATTTCGTCAAGTTGAGGCTGCAGCTGTATCAATACAAGAGCCAAGGTAAATTCCCAAAGATATTCACCCAATTACGTATTCTTTAAACCATAGTGCAGATATTGACCAGCTATGAAAGAAATTATATTAATTAGCAGCTGAGGTGTGATTTAAGCAAAAGTATTTCTACAGCTGATAGAGAGAGCTCTTAACCTAGAAAGAAAACACAGGACAACATTCTGATCAAATGCTTGATGCTCCTTTACTTTTTTTAAGTCAATCAGTCTCATTTCCATCAATGTTCAATCAATTTTTAACTGCAAAAGGCCAGAAATATGGATATCCAACTCATAGTTGTAGCTTTGGAACAAAACTAAAAAGCATGGACACCTATTTGACCACTGAATGTAAGTCAATATCAAGACCATTACCCTTCCTTGCTTATTGGCTCTTTCCTTTTCAGAAAGACAAACTGCTTGCAGTTGAATCCTTCAAACTAGAGCTAGATATAAATGTTGTGTTCAAAACTATGCCCAGCAAGTTCAGTTTAGAACAGTCATTTTCTATGTGTCAAGGTGTTATGTTTGGCTTCAAACCATTCTTGTCAGCTTTCAAGTTAATAATTTGCGGGTTATAATCAGCTTCAAACCAATTTAAGTTCAAGTCAATAATTTGCGGGTTATAATCAGGTCGGGTCATTCTCGGGTTCAAGTCGGGTTCGGTTCAAGTCAATAATTTACGGGTTATAAACAGGTTGGGTCATTTTCAAGTCGGGTCATTCTCGGATTCAAGTCCGGTTATGTTCAAGTCAATAATTTGCAGGTTACAATCAGGTTGGGTCATTTCCAAGTGAGGTCATACTCGGGTTCAACTAAATATAAATAGATAATTATCATTTTTATCAAGCAAATTATTTCCTTTGACTATAATATATATGACTATATACTAGGGAACTATATTCTATAATTTAGGAAGATAATTATCTCTTTTGACCGTACAACAAATATATACTATATTTAACTCTTAAATTTGAGGATAATGCTCCTTTCTTTTGTTGGTCTGGACCGACTTGGTCTCCCTAGACAAAATGCTTTGATCAACAATAATAAGGTGGTCTAAATTGCATTTAAGGTGATTTGAAATCGGGTCAGGAACTATTTGGGTTGAATTTAGGTTGAGTCAATAACAAGTCGTGTTAATTTCGAGTCGGGTTAGTAACAGATCGAGTTGAATTTTTGGGTCGGGTAAGTAATAGGTCTGGTAAATTTCGGGTCGAGTCAATAACAAGTCGCGTGGAATTTGGGTAAGATCAATAACAAGTCGGGTTGATTTCGGGTCAGGTTTGTAATTGGTTAGGTTAAATTCGGATCAGGTTAGGAATGGGTCGGGCTGAATTCAGGTCAGATTAGTAACAAGTCGGGTTAAATTCGGGTTTTGACGAGTTAAAACGAGTTAGGGTCAATTTCGGTTCAAGTCGGGTTCAGTGCAAGTTAATTAAATTGGTTGTTGTAAACCGGTAAATGGGTACAAGTTGTAAACCGGTAAATTGGCCGTTTAACAGCAAATTGGATGGTTCCACACACCCAATTGGACTCCTGTAGGGTATTAAGGACCATGGTAAACATTTTGGCAATTTTTATTTTCGAGCAAAAAAAAAGTCAAAAAATTCCAAAATTGAAGGCTAATATCCACGCTTTTTGGGAAATTTTGGAGATTTCGGGGCCCGGTGTCGAAAAGGCTTGAGATTTTAGGGAATACATCTCTGGGTCATATAATGACGTTTGGAACCATATAAAATCATTATATGTTGTCATATATGTTCGTGGTAGGCTTAATTTAATGAAATCGATGCAAGTTATAAACCTGTAAGGCTGTAAATAGGCCGTTTAAAGGCAAATTGGATGGTTGCACCCACCCAATTGGACTCCCAGAATGTATTAGGGACCATGGTAAATATTTCGGCAATTTCTATAACCTGACGAAAAAAAAGTCAAAAAATTCCAAAATTGAAGGCATTATATCCACGTTTTTTGAAAAATTTTAGAGGTTTCGAGGACCAGTGTAAAAAAGTCTTGATATTTTAGGGATACATCTCAAAGTCATATAATGCCGTTTGGAACCATATATGATCATTATATGTTATCATAAATGTTCGAAATATGCTTGAGTTAATGAAATCCGTGCAAGTTGTAATCCAGTATATTGGTCGTTTAAAGGGAAATTGGATAGTTCCACAAACCCAATTGGACACCCGGAGGTTATTAGGGACCATGGTAAACATTTCGACAATTTTTATTTCTGGGCGAAAAATAGTCAAAAAATTCCAAAATTGAAGACTAATATCCACGCTTTTTGAGAAATTTTGGAGATTTTGAGCCCCGATGTCAAAAAGTCTTGAAATTTTAGGGGATACATCTCGGGGTCATATAATGCCGTTTGGAACCATATATGATCATTATTTGTTGTCATAAATGTTCGTGGTAGGCTTGAATTAATTAAATCGGTGCAAGTTGTAACTAGTAAAATGGTCGTTTAAAGGCAAATCGGGTGGTTCCACCCACTCAATGGGGCTCCTAGAAAGTATTAGGAATCATGGTAAATATTTCGGTAGTTTTTATTTCCGGGCGAAAAAAAGGCAAAAATTACAAAATTGAAGGCTAATATCCACCCTTTTTGAGAAATTTTGGAGGATTCGGGCCTCGGTGTCGAATAGTCTTTAAATTCTACGGGATACATCTCGGGGTCATATAATGCCGTTTGGAGCCATTTATGATCATTATATGTTGTCATAAAAGTTCGTGGTAGGCTTGATTTAATGAAATCGGTGCAAGTTGTAAACCGGTAAATTGGCCGTTTAAAGGCAAATTGGATAGTTCAACCGACCCAATTGGACTCCCGGAGGATATTAGGAACCATGGTAAAAATTTCGGCAATTTTTATTTTCGGGCTTAAAAAAGTCAAAAAATTTAAAAATTAAAGGCTTATATCCACTTTTTTGAGAAATTTTGGAGATTTCGGGGCACAATGTCGAAAAGTCTTGAGATTTTGGGAATACATCTTGGGGTCATATAATGACGTTTGGAACCATATATGATCATTATATGTTGTCATAAATGTTCGTGGTAGGCTTGATTTAATGAAATTGGTGCAAGTTATAAACAGGTAAATAGACCGTTTAAAGGCAAATTGGATTGTTGCACCCACCCAATTTGACTCTTGGAATGTATTAGGGACCATGGTAAACATTTCGGCAATTTCTATTTCCGGACAAAAAAAGTCAAAAAATTCCAAAATTAAAGGCTAATATCCACGTTTTTTTAGGGGATACATCTCAGGGTCATATAATGCCGTTTGGAACCATATATGATCATTATTTATTGTCATAAATGTTCGTGGTACGCTTGAATTAATGAAATCGGTGCAAGTTGTGAACCGGTAAATTGGCCGTTTAAAGGCAAATAGGATGGTTCCACCCACCCAATTGGACTCCCGGAGGGTATTAGAGACCATGGTAAACATTTCGGCAATTTTAATTTTCGGGCGAAAAAAATTCAAAAAAATCATAAATTGAAGGCTAATTATCAACGTTTTTTGAGAAATTTTAGAGGTTTCGTGGCCCGGTGTCGAAAAGCCTTTAAATTATATAGGATACATCTCGGAGTCATATACTGCCGTTTGGAACCATATATGATCATTATATGTTGTCATAAATGTTTGTGGTAGACTTGAGTTAATGAAATCGGCGCAAGTTGTAAACCGGTAAATTGGCCGTTTAAAGGCAAATTGGATGGTTTCACCCACCCAATTGGACTCCCGGAGGGTATTAGAGACCATGGTAAACATTTCAGCAATTTTTATATCCGGGCGAAAAAAAGTCAAAAAATTCCAAAATTCAAGGCTAATATCCACGCTTTTTGAGAAATTTCGAATATTTCGGGGCACGGTGTCGAAAAGCATTGAGATTTTAGGAGATACATTTCGGGGTCATATAATGTCATTTGGAACCATATATTATTATTATATGTTGTCATAAATGTTCGTGGTAGGCTTGAGTTAATGAAATCGGTGCAAGTTGTAAACCGGTAAATTGGTCGTTTAAAGGCAAATTGGATGGTTCCACCAAACCAATTGGACTCCCGCAGGATATTAGGGACCATGGTAAACATTTCGGCAATTTATATTTCCGGGTGAAAATAAGTCAAAAAATTCCAAAATTAACAAATTGGATGGTTCTCAATCCACGCTTTTTGAGAAATGTTGGAGGTTTCGGGTAGAGCTATCAATTCAAGTAAACGGGTCGGGTTTAGGTCGGTAAAAGTGGATCGGGTCAACTCGGGTCGGGTCAATTCGGATTAATTCCATAACTTATGCGGGCCGGGTTTAGGTAGGGTCGTGCTTTAGTCGGGTCACGTCCGGTCATACTTCTTATCGGGTTTGGGTCGGGTTACATTCGGGACGGGTGAACAATAGGTCGGGTTTAATTCGTGTTTTTACGGGTTAAAACGGGCTAGGGTAATTTTGGGTTCGGTTCAAGTTAATAATTTGCGGGTTATAATTAGGTCGGGTCATTCTCGGGTTTGAGTCGGCTTCGGTTCAAGTCAATAATTTGCGGGTTATAATCAGGTCGGGTCATTCTCGGGTTTGAGTCGGGTTCGGTTCAAGTCAATAATTTTCAGGTTATAATCAGGTTGGGTCATTTTCAAGTCGGATCATTCTCGGATTCAAGTCGAATTATGTTCAAGTCAATAATTTGCAAGTTACAATCAGGTCGGATCATTTCCAACTTTCCAAGTGAGGTCATATTCGGGTTCAACTAACTATAAATAGATAATTATCATTTTTATCAAGCTAATTATTTCCTTTGACTTTAATATATATGGCAATATACTAGGGAACTATAGTCTATAATTAGGAAGAATAATTATCTCCTTTGACCATACAACAAATATATAATATATTTAACTCTTAAATTTAAGGACGATGCTCCTTTCTTTTGCTGGTGTGGACCGACTTGGTCTTCCTAGACAAAATGTTTTGATCAACAATAATAAGGTGGTCTAAATTGCATTTAAGGTGATTTGAAATCGGGTCAGGAACAATTTGGGTTGAATTTAGGTCGGGTCAATAACAAGTCGTGTTGGTTTCGAGTCGAGTTAGTAACAGATCGGGTTGAATTTATCGGTCGGGTTAGTAATAGGTCTGGTAAAATTCGGGTTGGGTCAATAACAAGTCGGGTTGAATTTGGGTCAGATCAATAACAAGTCGGGTTGATTTCGGGTCGGGTTTGTAACAGGTTGGGTTAAATTCGGGTCGGGTTAGGAACGGGTCGGGTTAAATTCAGGTCAGGTTAGTAACAAGTCGGGTTGATTTCGGGTTTTGACGGGTTAAAACGGGTTTGGGTCAATTTCGGTTCAAGTCGGGTTCGGTTCAGGTCAATAATTTACGGGTTACATTTGGGTCGGGTCATCTCTAGGTCAATTCATGTTCGGGTTCAGGTCTCACATACTCGGGTCAACTCGGGTCTAGGGTTGGTTTCAGGTCAGGTTTGGGTCACCATTTTTTCGAGTTTAAATGGGTCGGTTAATAATTGAGAAGGTTGTGACAAACAGCCTGCCATATATCCACACTGTGATAAAAGGGTGTGATAGTAGGGTGCTTTTTTAAAATCTGAGGCTTTTTTGTTTCATTCTATAAAAGAGGGGAGGTAAACCTGAGGACTGAGTTTCATAAGATTAAAATAAGAGTTCACTTCTACAATACAAACTGTGGCTAGTAATTCAGAATTATACCTTTTTGTAAGAATATCAATATGGCTAAGATCTTTAGCTATATTTTCAGCAATCCTTTCCATATGCTTCCTTGGAAGATTAGAAAGAAGGAGAATTCTCTGCCTCCTGAAAATAAAATTGCAAACAAAAAGTTGCCATCTGGAAGAATTAATGTACATTGACAATTCACACAAGTAAACCAAAAAACTTCTGTACCTATCATGAGCAGTGCCTAGGCGGATGGAAAACTCATGATACTTATTTATCTGCTTAAGTATGAAGTTCAGATGACTATTCACTCCACAAATGATTATATGATCAGTCTCCAAAACTTGCATTTGTGCACCCTCCCTGATCCTTTGCATGTTATTCTGGTGACACGGGAGATGTATGATGCAATAGTGTTATTGGTCAGAAACTTAAAAATGTATTAGATTCAATAGTCAATTGCATAGAATAACATTATCACTATTAGGAATTGTGCTCCCTAAACTTACTCTGAGCTGCTCTGTCATCGTGCTCAACAAACGGGAGTAGAATAATATGCCCCAAATAGCAAGTATAAAGCCAACAACTCGTTCAAAACGTGTTCTCAACTGCAGTTTTTCATGAAAAAATTACATTAGATGCATCAATTGCAATAATTATCAAATGCTCATTGATCTAGATAAGACAAGCAGGATCACATGAATATCAGAAGAAACAGAGCCAGAAAGTTCACAAGGGCATCATTTTCACACTCTTAAATGGGTTGATGATGAACAAAGACAAGACCAGGCCTCCCAGAAGCAATCCTCCAAAGACTGTGTTTGACCCCTATATTCAAACAAGGAAAAACTCAGCTCAGTAGAACAGCAGATATGTCCTTTACTATTCAAACAGCTGACAGACAGCCAGTGTAGCACTCCTACATTCCCAACCTAATCCAAGGTATCATAAGTAAAAAAAGGATATCACAGCATACCTGAACCTAAAGAAGAGGAAACCACCAATGACAACGAACGAGAAGCACGCCACAATTAGTACCAATAAAAACCTGCATTTCGTCCACACCAGCAGTCTGAGCCATGGCAAAATATATAAAAGGATACTTACACAAAATCAACCAATATAACTAAAGAACAGAAACTGGTAAGCCATTTACTTCCTCTGTTGGGAACGAAAGAGTCATGTAAGAGTTCCAAAAGAAGATCAAGGTCGCATTAATATTATGCACATCTGTTAATGGCTTACCACTTTCAAAACATTGTTTTTATTCTCCTTGAGACACATGCCATAGAATTCCTTGAGTAGAAATCACCATGACCAGAACTAAGATCACAATTCAACCATTTTCATACAAACCTAGTTAAGACACTCGTGTACTATGCTACAAGAAGCATAAAGATCAGAACAAAACGGTTAACAAAAAATGTTAGAAGACAATGAAAACGAAAAGGAGGAAAAAAAAATAATTTACAAGCCTTTATAAATATCAATGAAAGATGATTGGTATTTTGATTCAATTCAAAGCAAGAGAGAAGCTTTTGTGAACAGAAAATAGCAGAAAAAACACATTTTAAATGATTCAATTAGTTGGCTGCTTTCACTTACGTTGCTACATTTCTTTCTACTTGCATGTTGAATAGATATATCATTCGTGCAAAGCTCCACTGGAGATCCCCAATTGAAGGTAAAGAGACATCCAAGTTGAGAGGTGTAGGCTTGTTTTGTGAACTAGACAGGGAAGCAAACAGTAGATTTGTAGACCCAAAAGCTTGCATTGAAAAGCCATGCAAGCACTTGAGCGATTTCAGCAACATGCTGGCCAAATTCAAATGACTCCATCTAAGGAAGACAAAGGATGATATTGATAAGGAGTGAATAATCATAGCCAGGTGACCCTGCACATAATTAGAATAACAAACACTATCAAACTAGATAAAACAAAACCTACATATAAAGTTTTCGTAAAAAGAAGAATAATGAACTCATAAAAACATGCAGAAGAAATGCAGGGGACTAGAAGTTGCAAATGCATCTAGTTTTTTTACCTTCTTGTGAAAATCTATCAATAAATTGTTTTTTAAAAAAATCCAAGCAAGGAAAACAAACAGAACAATTCTATGACTCAAAAAGTATCTAATTTATGTTGACAATATTAACCTTTTTGAACAATGTGCTTATAATGTATCTATTCTCTTCTGGTCCAAACATATTAAGAAGATTCTTTAAGGCAACTAATATATTCGAGAGATACATCATAATATCCCCAAGTTTTTACAGCTTTCAGAGAACCCAGATGTCCAGTATAACCTTCCTCATAATCAAGTTAACTATGCTAAGTCAAAGTCGTAGATTATTATAGTCACATTATACTGCTCTTAAAAACATAATTTATCAACCAAAAAAAATGCATAATGCCAAGCAAAGCCCTGGACAACAAGTATAGAAATTAAGAACAACTAAGCCCTTAACCCAACACAAGGTGGAGCCTTGACCTCACACGACATAAAATTATATGCAATGCGATACCAGGTTCCAATTTTAAGGTGGGCCTATCCCCAGCCCCCGCTGAAGATCCTCTCCACCCCCCCCCCCCTCTCTTGGGACTGCTTCATTCATAGCCGAGAGGGCTTGCTAATAAATGTGAAACTTAAGCCAAATTAGGTCTAATCCAAGGATATTTTACCAGAATTCCTTTATTTACAAATACCCATTAGGTAAGCAGAAAGTCATTTCAATCACCAACAAAACATATCTCACTAAAAAGAAAAGGCAATAAATTACCAAATTGGGTAAAAGAAGTCAGTAAATCACACAAATTTAGACATATATTCAAATGAGCTTCTAATCTTGAAAAAAGAATAACGTTCATTCAGATGTCTGCATCTTTTGACATGAAATTCCCAGGGCAAATTCAATAATTCTTACCTTCAGACCACCTTTGAGTTCTAATCTCGAGCATATACCTTCCTCTTCGTCCATAAAATCTGAACAAGAAACTAATTCCTCGGTATCTTTTCTCGTAGCATTTGTAATCCACTTCCCTAAAAAATTGATCATAATAATATATAAGGTCTCCTTACCAAATAATAGGCAACCATGAAAGTCTGAAACTCATAATTTTAAGATAGCTAGCAGTATAAATGAAAAAAAAAAAAAAAGAAAAAAAAAATTGGTGCAAGGTGGCAGCATTCAGACATGTATCAAATATGGATCATTGATTTCTCACAGACCATATCAGCTCCCTAGTTCTGCAGGTTATCACCTAAAACTTACAATAAGTTATGTCTGCACCACATTGCTTACTTTACCAGCAGGAGCTTTGTCACTCTACACTAGCATTTCCAAAGGATCTTTTACCAAAATGGCTATTTTGACAAAAGTATTTACCAAAACGGCTAATTATAAAATTTAATTCCCAAACTAGCTAAATTTATTGATTTGAAAGGATACTATTTATTTTTTATATTCCTTTGAATCCGTTTGGTTCACTTTATGGTTTTTTTTTTTTTTTTTTTTTGGTTTTATTTAAAAAGATTTAGTTTTTTTTAAAAAAAAAAAAATTGGTTTAATTTAAATTCTAATGCCATAGTTTAAAATATCCCATTAATTTGAACAATAACAATCAACATAATATATATGCAGCAATTCTCAATTTTTAAAAAAGTTACACATAAACAACCACTCAAAAATAATGATCCAAACTTCCAATCAACAAAAGAAATAAAAAAATACAACTATTTTTTTTTTACACATAAAGATAGAAATAAATATATGTAAGTTATACACATTAAACAAAATAAATATTCAAACTAGCCGACATAAACAAAGAGTATACAATTAATTTAATAGACTTGAAAAAGATGAACAATACCCTAAAATCCCTTATCGTTGTATAAAGTTGCGGTAATCTTGATAGAACAATAAGACTTGAAATTCCAATTTTTTGTGACTGATATGATCAAGATGAAAAATTAGGGCTTTTAATTTTTTTTTTATCGAAATTAGGAATCTGTGAGTCTACGACTATTTACGTTCTTCGTAGTTTTGTATACTGCTTAAATTTTCAAACTTAAAAAAAACCTTAAAGGAAATAAAAATAATAATAAATAAAAAAAATAAAATAAAAAAATAATAAAAAAAAAAAAAGTGAACCAAACTGGTTCAAAGGAAATAAGAAATAGATAAATTCATTCCTTTCAAGTTAATAAATTAGCTAGTTTGGGAATTAAATTTTATTATTAGCCGTTTTGGTAAATACTTTTGTCAAACTAGCCGTTTTGGTAAAAGATTCATTTTCAAAACTTAAACAATAATATTGCAGAGGAAAGACAACTCAACTCTACAAAGATATCTACAAGCAGTCATTCTTTGTCTTTGTATCACAAGATCCTTAGGCAGTAAACATATATATGCTGCCACAAGAAGTCAACAACAGCAAAACTTATTACTCCCTGTACCTATTATTTTGTTCTAAGCTCCTGGACTCTTAGATTAAAATTCACATCAACTACATGTCATGATTATATATATATATATATATATATATATAAAATCATGACATGTAGTTTTCTCAAACCTTAATGTTTTTTTACTCACACGTTTTTACCTCTTCTTAAGTCTTTCATGAATTTTATTTTGGTTCTCCTTTAAAACCTTTTAATTTTCCTTGGATGCTCTTTCTTTTTCTCACCATTACTCGCCTTTTTTTTCCAACTCTTTCAACTGATTATACTGTTATATCTCTTTCTCTATATCGTATGTTCCTTGTAACAATTCATATTAGTCGACCCCAAATCATTTTGAGACTAAAACTTTGTTGTTGTTGTACAAATGTACCTTATTAGTAAAATTTATTATTAGTTGATATTGTGAAAATACATATTGAAAAATACAACCAATTCATTAAGTTTGAGTGTTTGACCACAACGTAGAATGGGATAGAACAAAAAGATAGGAGGGAGATAAAAAAATAAAAAATAAAAAATAAATAAAAAAAATAAAATAAAATAAAAAAAAAAAGAGCAAAAGTAATTAATGAATCAATCTGATTTGAGTATCTAGTGTATAAACTTATTTCTTTTTTCCTTTGTTGGTATTACTCTTGAATTCTTGATTTTGCCTAATCAAACACATTCAAAATTATTAATACTTTAAATGGAATTTGTATATAAATTAAAATAAACGTTGAAAAATTCTTGCACTTTTTGGTGTCATGTGGCAGAGGCAATCTTGAATTTGACTTATGTGGTACACAACATGATTAGCACAATCCTATTTTCCCAGTAAGGACTCTTACGGTGTGGTTGGATTGAAGGAAATGGAGGGAAAGAAAGGGAATGGAAATGGAGGGATGAGGTATCTTTCATTTGGATAACAAATGAGGAAGGAAGGGAGGGAATTGGAGGGAAGAGAAATGGAGGGCTTAAATTGCAAGAAATTTATTCCTCCAACAAGGGAGAGATTTGAAAGGAAAAATCACCTTTCTTCCTTCCGCTCCCTTTCCCTCCCCTCCTCTTCTCCTCCTTCCCCTTCTCCTCCTTCCCCTTTATTTATCCAAACACAGTGTTAGTCTTCTACTCGTTTTTACTTCCCCAAATTATTCAAATATCCTATAATTCTACAACAGTAATTAAGAATGTAAACAAAAAATCTATTAACTATTACTAAAACAGAATATGCTAACGTCACCACTGCCACATGTCGCTCTCTGAATAAAAAATTTCCCGCCTAAATGCAATGATGATGTCATCTTTCTTTCCTTTTTTTTTTTAATTATGTAGAGTCATCCTATTTAACATTTTAGAAATTTAAATATTAGATGCTTCTACCTTACAACTAAAACCTATGGATTTATCGTAGAAAATTGAAACAATTTTAAATAGCACACTAAAAAAATGACCTCACATTGAACTATGAATTAGATGACGTCAAACAGATATTATATCATAATTTTGATGAAAATAAAAGATTTTAAATTACAAAATGTGCGTAATTCTTATTTATATTCATGTATAATAGCGATTTATTATTAAAATGTACAAATTAAAAATAGGTTTTATATAAACCATACATCACACGGGTTCTAACCTAATAAACTAATAAATAAGGCTTTACTTCCCTGACAACAAGTAAAGTTGCTAGCCATATCAATATCATGGAATGGTATGGATTATGGAATATTAAATTGGATGCTATAAATCAGATGTTATATAAAAGAAATCTAGTAATTAAATCAACTTACAATTACAACTCACCTCTTTGATTCATTTTGTTATTTGACATTAAAGATGAATCTTCCAACCAAATATCCGGAATACAAAGTGTACACCTGCAGAGTATCATTAAATTTAGTTTTTGATACCACAACCTCGGGCAAGAATTCAAGGACATAAGAGACAGGGTAGAGCAAATTTTAAAGTACCAACTTGAACTTCCTGTATGAGGTTCTTGATATTTTTCATATCCACAAAGTTTTTTTTTTGCCTGTTTAGCCTTTTATAAAAGACAGCGGGAGCAATACTACAGGTATCATCTAAACCCAAATGCACTCAAACAGATATGAGAGTTAAATTCTTTTGTCATTGCAACTGTGCTATACTAATATTTACTCCAGCATGCAAGATCAATATCATAATTACAGGATACACTACTTAAATGCCTCAATAATATTACATCCAAAAGTTAATAAAAAGAAAAACGATGAACGTGAAATCATAATGCTTTTGGAAGAGAGTATAAACATGACCTTTTTTAGTAAAGGTACTTGCTTAAAGGATTCCCTCTTCTGTCATAGAGGGGTGTTGCTATAATGCTATCAACACCAAGAAGACAACCACATTCACCAATTCTTGTTCCAGGATTATACTACCTTTGTTTCTGAATGGTCTTTACATTTTCTGTTTTGGTCTCTTTCTAAAAGTTTTTTAACATATTTACTTTATTCTTTTTTTGGCAATCCCCTTATATTACCTTACCCTAAAATATTTACACATTTCCACTCACTCTCTCTTACTTTATCCTCTTTTTTCTTACACTCGCCCACTTTTTACACTCTCTACTCAAACCACCTTTTTTAACACTCGCCTAGTTTCTTAATATTTGTCAAAGGAATCAAACAACAGAGTGCCTCCCTCCCCTTTTCATCAGTTTCACATTCATCAAAACTTCAAGGCAAGGTTTTTGCAACTTTATAATCACATTTTTTTTGTAGTAGAAGAGATGAAGTAGATGAGCTTGGTCCTTTGGCAATGTCAAAGGTACGTGAAATCCTTCTGCTTCTTAAATTTAGAACATGAATTTAATCATTAAGGAAATAAATAGATAGATAGTAACTATTCACTCATTACTCATTCATTCCGCTGGAACATTGCAGTTTCAAATTTTCAATCGCCTCCCTTAAGAGACATGCTTTCAAGCCCTTCGTAAAATCGATCTCCCTATCGCTGAATGTGTGATTGGCACGCGTATACATTTCATCATTCTTTCTGCTCACATATATAAATGAAGAATTCCAAGTCCTTTTAAGTTCCAAAACCTTTCCTCCTTTTCTAATCACAGACTACTTTACTTAATTCCTACTAACTAGCTCTTCTTGATTATTCTATAATTTCAACTATCGTAATTTTCTCACTCTAAACTACATATCCAATCCATAATAAGCTTTCTCATATTCAATTAAAGAAAATAATAATAAATCCAGTCACCGTGAATTAGCCTTCAATAATCAAAACTCAATAGCAAAACTCTACAACCACAACTACAAAAAGACTAAAGAAGCTTCATCAAGACCAACATTACTTCAAATCTACAATCTCAAAGCACAAAAACAATCCAAAATTCAAATACTCCAAAATGTTCCAATAAAACTACAATCTCAAACTACATTAACACTCTAAACATCAAAGACTCCAAAAAAATTCCAACAAAAGTACAATCTCAATAAATAATCCAAAACCAAATTTCCCAATAAAAATACAATCTCAAAGCATATATAACAATCCAAAAACCATATACTCCAAAATCTTCCAATAAAAATAATCTCAAATCACATAAATAATCCAAAAAAACATATACTCCAAAACATTTCCAATAAAACAGCAATCTCAAACCGCATTAATCAAAATGTACACACTTCAAATTCACAAAACAATACAAAACACAACAAATTCAACATTAATAACTAAAGAAAAAGAGATTAACCTAAAAGAGGCGCGCGACATTCGCCGGCGAAACGCACCGGAGCTCCACCGAGAATTAACGGTAATCCGAGGAGAAGAAAACCGATTCTTCGCCGGAAAAATAGCCGGAACCGGAAGAAACGACGTCGTAAGATGCCTCATTGTTGAAATCACTAAGAAAATGGAGTAGGAAGAGATAAGGTGAAGTATAGAAAATTCAACCAAGGCAATTAAACTGTGTCAATGTTTGATATTTTTAGGAAAAGTGACAAAGAAATATTTGGAGTTTGATCACAAAAAAAGGGCTAATATGTTGAGATTCCATTCATGTCAACGTCTTTTATAAAAAAGAAGAGAAGAAGATCATACATAAGATACATTAAATAAAGTTGTACAAGTCCAAAAAATAAGTACTAGAAGTCAGGAAAATTTTAATATTGGTGTGGTCCATGAAATATTTTTTTTTTTTTTTGTAAGTGTGTGCAATTATAGTGCAAAGTTTGTACGACTAGCCTAGTTGAGTTGTTTTTGGTTATGGTCTCGTGGGCATGGAGGCCATGGACCCATGTGTTTGTGGTACAAGAGTTGGGGAGTAGGACCGTAATCGCGAAAGGCATATGCGTTTAACATATGTTACATGAATATGTGATGTGTCAAGGATGTAGCGCTGTTTCTATTTTTGGAAGTTTTGCTCTATTTGTTACCAAGTGTGTTATAGTAGGGGTGTTAAAAATTTGAGTTAAATATTGGAAATCAAAAGAAACTAATTTAGTCCGGTGTGAAAATCTTTAAAAATCGATCTTGAATAAGATTGGTGTCTAATGTTAAAAACCTTTTGCATAAAATATATCTTACCAGGTAATAATTTCTCTCGTTTATTCAACATATTTTAATTTTATTCTTTGTAGTCATTATATTTTTTGTATAAGCTTGTCAATATAATTTGTGATTTTATAAAGCTTGAGCGAGCACACAGTGTGAGTTTAATCAAAACTTAGTCAATTTGTAATTTTGTTAGCATTTTGTCTACAATCAGTTGGAATGGGAGTTTATATGTTGTTGCAAGCCAAAGCTCAATCGATACACTTAGCGATGAATCTCAATAAACCTTATAAACAATGAAATATGATCAAAGACTCCATATGTGTGGCGTGCGTCGATGATGTCAATCTAACAACAAGCTTACCATACCCAAAAGTTGTTTATGGTATTATAGATAAATAATTTTTTCTTTATATACAATGGTTGTGTCTTTACACAACATAAATGATGATTTATCTCATAATTTTACGGCAATTATGGATTTGATGTGGAATTTAGTATGTGTAACTTGATTGCATACATTTACTTTGGTTTGAAAATTAAGCACTTAATAAATTTACACAGCAACATGATTGCATAGTATATGTGCATATACATATGTGGATTTCTAAAACAAACAGACCTATCAATGAACAAATCTATTGATTAAGGTTCAAAACAATATGGGGTATATCTAAGCGATGATTTACTCGAGCCTTGGTTTGCCCCATGCTCACTAGTCACTATGTGCTATTTCAGTTGATAATAGGTAATATATATGAATATGTGAGTTAGTTTTATAACTTTATGAAAGTCGCCCACTTATGGAGTTATGATTAGCGATTCTCCGAGGGGGGTCAATTCCTTAAACTAATTATTTTATCAATTTAATTTATAAAGCTTATTAGCTTAATTTACTTATTTACATCATTATGCAATTTTTTATGCATCATACGTTCATATATACTTTGTACTTGTTCATACAATTGATATGGAGTTTGATGCATCATACCATTCATACATTCACACTAGTGCACGGTGCACTATGAATTAAAGCCGCACACACTTCCTTCCTCACTATATGCAACTATACAAGCATAGTTTAGTTTGTGATTGAGAATGTTGGCCTGGTAAGAGTAAAAGTACAATAGTGTATCAGTGTATGTATGAGTAAAGCAATTGTTTATCATAATAAATATACAAGTTAAAATTTTGTAAGGCAAGTTAAGAACGAAATTATAGGTAATAATTAATCTTTGAGGAGTACGTAAAAGGAACAATTTATATTAATTTAGTTTAAGGTAAGGAGAATGTTCTACTAGATGAGTGATTGGAATATATAATTCTTTTAAAGACGGGGGAGAATGGGGAGGGAATCTACACTCCAAAGTGTTTTTAGTGGAGTTTGATCCTAAATGACAAACCTTACGACTAGGCAAGCTTTGTTTGGTGGACGGAACAATCTAACACTCAATAAAATCTAAAGGAAAAATCTATTCATGTTAAAGATATTTTTCAAATTTAAGTAAGAAATAATGCTCCATACATATTTTCATTCATTAAGATATTCAAATTTACGGAGCATTATGCAATGCAACCCCACAAATGCAGCAATTCCAAAATTGTGGTAATGCAATATACTCCGTATAGTGAACCTTGTCTTTGGCTAAGAGCGGGTTAGTGCTGCAACAGTACCATCAATCCACCAAAGCAATATGAATGAAGATAACAATAGTGGAAATGTGACTTGGAAAAGTCTTAACAATCTCACCACCTACTAGGGCTACTACTATAATTATTGTTCTTTTAAGTTTGAACACAAATATTAAGTGTTGGCATATTTATTAAAGTAATTTAGGCTCTTCTAGATTATATGCAACTTTGATTGCTAGAAAAAAAAAAAAAAAAAAAAAATCGTATAATTAGTAGAGAGACGTACATCACATGATGACATGAAAGATATGATGAGCAACACGATATAAATAATCTTATAAAAAGTGGGTTGAAACTTAAAACTCACAAAATCACAAATAGTTAATCTTGAATTTAATTAATGAGTTAGCTAGGTAAGTGAATTTTAGATTATTAGTAATTGTATTTCTTTTTTCATGAAAATCAAAGAAATAATTGGAAAGTATTACTATTTACTACTCATAAAAATGAAAAGTTGCATGTACAAAGGACTATATGGAGATTTATTATTATGATTGAGATTAGTTTTTACTTGTTAATACTCATGTAATTGCATTAGGTTTAACACTTTGTGCAATTTACCCAATGTTTAATGAACTAAAGTTACATGAAGTATATATTAATTAGGTTCTCTAACTTAAAACTAATATTTCTTACATTGCAATTGATTTTTTTTACCAACTAATTTATCACTAATTAAGATAGATTTTACTGATCCGTAAACATAATTTGTTATGTGAATTTCTATGTACTCCGTACTACTTATAAAAATGTAAAAGTTATTTTTAGTGAAAACCAATAGAATGTTGCACATATAAACTTTTTTTTTCCCACATATAATCAAATAAGTAATAATTTGATATATATATATATATATATATATATATATATATATATATATATATATATATATATAATACATCTTTGTGTATAAATATACGGTATATTTGTGTGTATTTTTTATATACTACGTAATGGAAAGTGCCTTAAACCGTTGTTCTTATTTCGATAGGGATAATTGGGATGGTGATATCCATCCAGCAAATTACAACGTGGAAAAACATAAAAAAAAAAAAAAAAAAAAAAAAAAAAAAAAAAAACCAACACGTAAAACCTCACCTTGCGAGGGTGTAGCATGTAACGTGTTTTACAAAGCCATTGAATAATAAATTAATAATAATAATAATTGATATTAATTACTAAATATTGCAACATAAGGAAAAACGTATAACTTGTGGATTAATTAATTCGTTAATTAGAATAGAAATGATGTAGATGATCTAGAACAACTATCCACAGCTAAGCCTAGATTTGATCAACATAACCTGTCAACATTACATTACTGTTGCAGCGTGTGGAAGACAGAATTAAGCTGTTGTTACTAGGTTTTTGCTTTCTTGATTGGTGAGCACAAAACCTTAATCTAAGCTATCAGCTAGTCACCTTATTTTTAATTCTTATTTGTGCTTATGTATGCCGTATTGCTTGTATGCCGTATTGCTTTTAAGCGTTATACTTAGGGTCTGTTCTGATTTACTGAACTGAACTAACTTAACTGAGCTAAATTAAATTGTACAAAATTGAAATTAAGCTCAAGAGAACAGGCTCGTCTTAGCCATTTGTGTACTTTGTAGTCTGTAAAGTAAATTAATTTTATTTTGACAAAACCATCTTATATTTATCCATGGATCGGAATATGTATGTTCTTTTCGTTGAGTTTTCAAAATTCTCAACATACAATTTTACACAACACATAGATTTTTAAGGACTCACATAATTATCTACCCTCAACTCACCTTGATTATTTGCTAGAATATAATTAAATTACTAAATACATCATTCATATTTGTAAAACTTGTATAGTTGTATAACAGTATGATGGTAAACATTCTTTACGAGTTAAATTTCTACTGAGTATAATACGTGTAGGTCCTCTAGGATATATAAAAAATTAACCATTGCATAAATGAAGGGATATTTTCAAAACTTCCACGATTAACTGAAAATTATACTACGTATATGAAGAGGTTTTGATTAGTTATCTCTAATTTAAAACAGAACGAAGCCAAGTGGTATATGCGTGTAGCCTTCCTTTTGAATAACAAATTATGGCAAAAATTTGGACCATTTAGGAGTAAACCTTCAACCAGAGTCACTAGGGACCAAAAACTGGCAAATTAATGCAAGATACATACATCATACAAAAGCCAAAACAATGTTGTAGTTCCAAAAGGAAAAAAACAGAAAAAGGGAAAAAGCTCAAAATTATGCCTAGTTTTCAACAATAACTCCAATTAGGCTCAATCGAGATAAAGACAGCCACATTGTTATGCAAAAAGGGCTAACGAGGATGGGTACGGTTACAAATAATTTCAATTTTTAGTTGTGCAGTTGTACCTTATTGAGGATATATTTTGTGGGATATATTTTGTGGAATATTTGGTATTATCTTTCATATTGTTTCCTAATTTCTAGTAACCTAATTAAGGTATCTCTAGGAATTAGCATTGTATATATATGTTTTGCTCCAATTAATGAAAGGTTAAGCCGTAAGTTTATACAATTCTACATGGTATCAGAGCCTTGATTTTTTTTCTCTCTGTAAAGGGCTATCCTTTTGGGAAGAAAGGGTGGCGTTTGTATGACCTTGACTCCAAAGTTTTTTTTGTGTCTCGGGATGTTAAATTTTTTGAGGATGTGTTTCCGTTTGCTACTCCGGACAGTGTTAACATTGAGCCTAATGACTTTGATTCTCATTATGCTATTCACGATGATTTTGTTGAGTTTGAGGAGTGTGATGGCAGTGTGGAACGTGATATGCCCAATGGTGTCCTTGAGGGCAGATATTTGGGTGACCATGACCCTGCGAGTGCAGCTACGGCAGACCACCAAGGTCTTGCTTCAGCTCACCCGCAGGAGGAGGCTGTGGGCGCGGGTTCTTCAGCACAGCAGTCCTTAAGCCATGATGAAAATGGCAGTACAGGGGCAGCAGATCAGCAGCCCTTGGGGCGAGGTTTTCGGGACAAAATTCCCTCGGTTCGTCTTCGTGATTTTGTGACTCACTCAGTTTTTGCTAAAAATCCGTCTCCCTCCATTCCGTCTTCCAATACTCCTTCAGGTACTCCTTATCCTTTAGCACATTATATAAATTGTGACAAGTTTTCTGTGAATTATTGTAAGTTTATGGCAGCTATTGTTGGTGGTCATGATCCGAAATCTTTTAGAGAGGCCATGAAACATGAAGGTTGGAGACAATCTATGCAGGAAGAAATTAGAGCCTTGGAAGATAACGGCACTTGGACCTTAGAGCACCTTCCTCCTGGCAAACGTGCTCTAGGGAGTCAATGGGTGTATAAGACAAAGTATTTCTCTACTGGTGATATTGAACGACTTAAATCTCGTTTGGTCGTTTTTGGTAATCATCAGCAGGAAGGCATAGATTATGGTGAAACGTTTGCTCCAGTTGCAAAGATGACCACGGTTCGGGCTTTTCTTGCAATTGCAGCATCAAAGAACTGGGAACTCCATCAAATGGATGTGCATAATGCTTTCTTGCACGGTGATCTTGCTGAGGAGGTATACATGAAATTACCTCCCGGGTTTGAAGGTGCAGATCCTTCATTAGTGTGTCGCTTGAGGAAGTCCTTGTATGGGTTGAAACAAGCACCGAGGTGTTGGTTTGCAAAGCTAACAACGGCTTTGAAAGGGTACGGCTTCATTCAATCTTACTCTGATTATTCTCTTTTTACATATACTAAAGGCACAGTTCAGATTAATGTCTTAGTATATGTTGATGATCTTATTATTTCTGGTAATCATTCCGCTGCACTTGTTGGTTTCAAGGCGTATCTCAGTGATTGTTTCAAAATGAAGGATCTAGGTCCTTTGAAATATTTTTTGGGGATAGAAGTTGCTCGTAGTGCTTCAGGTTTATTTTTATGTCAACGAAAATATACGTTGGATATTATTTCTGAGGCAGGTTTATTAGGGGCAAAGCCGAGTGGTTTTCCCATGGAGCAAAACCACAAGCTCGGTCGTGCCACAGGTGAGCTTCTTGCGGATCCGGAAATGTATCGTAGGCTTGTTGGTCGTTTGATTTACCTTGGGGTAACTAGACCAGATTTAGCATACTCCGTTCATATCTTGTCTCAGTTTATGCAAGCGCCACGCATTGAGCATTGGGAAGCAGCTCTTCGTGTTGTTCGCTATTTGAAGGGTACCCCGGGTCAGGGTATCTTGTTGAGTGCTACTAGTGATCTCACCTTGGAAGGTTGGTGTGATTCGGATTGGGCGGCTTGTCCCCTAACTCGTCGTTCTGTCACAGGTTGGTTGGTGTTTTTGGGGCATTCGCCTATCTCTTGGAAGACTAAGAAGCAACCAACTGTGGCGACATCTTCTTCAGATGCCGAATATAGGGCAATGTCTGCAGCCACTTGTGAGCTCAAGTGGCTTAAGGGTTTGTTGTTGAATTTGGGTGTGCAACACCCTCAGGCGATCAAGTTATTTTGTGACAGTCAATCTGCTTTGCACATCGCAAAGAATCCGGTCTTTCATGAGAGGACCAAACATATTGAAGTGGATTGTCACTTTGTTCGAGATGCGATTGTTGAAGGCTTGATTTCTCCATCTTATGTTCCTACAACTTCTCAATTGGCCGACATTTTCACGAAGGCTCTTGGGAAGTCACAGTTTCACCATCTTTTGTCCAAGTTGGGCACTCATGACCCTAGTGCTCCAACTTGAGGGGGGGTATTGAGGATATATTTTGTGGGATATATTTTGTGGAATATTTGGTATTATCTTTCATATTGTTTCCTAATTTCTAGTAACCTAATTAAGGTATCTCTAGGAATTAGCATTGTATATATATGTTTTGCTCCAATTAATGAAAGGTTAAGCCGTAAGTTTATACAATTCTACATACCTAGAGAACACGAGTAGACTTCATGCGTATGAAATTAATCAAGTTGAACGAATATATATCGTGAGTTCGTGACACTAGCTTAGGGCTTGGGAATGAGCTTGATTTGAGATAGGCAATATAAGCCGAAAATAAGAGCTGTACATTGTGGAGTAATAATGATTGTGAATTTGTGATTAATTATACCGAATAAACTATATTTACTTTTTTTTTTTTTTTGACAAATGCAAAGGAACAACATGAAATGCATTAATTTACTACTCTTCCTGTTTTATAGTCTTCTCTAATTAGAATTTTATGAGATAAAAATTGGTCAAAATAGAAAGATAAAACAACATGAAATAGAGGGAGTAGCAAGGAATAAATTTGGCATTTCACGAAAAAGTATGTGAGATTGTCACCCAAAACTAGCTCATCAAATTGGTTCAAGAAGTATAAAAGCCACAACAGTACGATCCACTATTCAACTCGATTGACAAGATAAATACACATCCATGCATTTTTGAAAATAACTGATAATTATATATAGTGTAGCAAAGTATATATTGTAAACTTTGTAATATTTCTTCTGTCTCTTACTAGTAAAGTCGTTTGATTTATATCTAGCTATCTAACCGTCTAACCCCATATTCCAATGTGTTGGTGTAAAAAAAAGTAAATTATATTGTTAAAAATATATATTTAATTTAAAGGGGTCTACAATGTTGTTATTTATAGAAAATACCATAAAAATTAACAAGCAAGCTAAAGCCTCATTCTCTCCACTTTACATTTGCTTATTTTGACAAACTTAAATTAGTATTTATAAATACATTTGCTAAACTTAGATTATTTTTAATGATTAAAAATTTTTTTTATTAAAAATATATTATAAATATTCTTTGAAGTTGAAGTTTTGATGTCATGTACGGATTAATAGTTAATTTATTTTACTCGACTTTAGCTTAATTTTGTCGAACTTCACTTACTTTTGCTAAAATTAATTTAGTTTTACAAAACTTAAATTATAATTTTACCAAACCGCATGTACTTTATAAACGCAGATGGTTGGTTTTATTCTGTACTGTGATGGGATATACACTACTCGACGTAGTCTAGTACGCATTAGATTTCATAGTTGATATACAACAAGAATGACAATATTACATGAATAAGGAACTAGAAAAAAGACTAAAATTCATGGTCCAAAAATTCCAAATATAGTTATGTTATACACACATTCATCCCCTCCATCATCATCATCATCATATTCATATCCCATGCAATACTCCAATGTTGTAAGAAAATCTCTCCCTCTTTTACGGTTAAGTTTTCTTCTTTTTCTTGGCTTTATGCTCTTATCATCATGTTATTAGAGTAGTTGTTACTTAAAAGCCTCAAATCATCCCTAAAACCCTCCTATATATCACACTAACACATAACAAACACTCTTCATTCATTCTTTTTTATACTACTTATAACAACACACACTTTCTTCATTCTTCTCCTTCTCAATTACCTATTTCTCTCTCTCTTCTCTCTTTCATTCTCTCCTCATTTTACATAGATTTTGAGGAGAATTTTGAAGAGAGGAAAAATATGGTGTCGTCGAGAAATGAGTTGTTACCATTTTTAGCAATGGTCATAGTTCAAATAGCGTATGCTGGGATGAACATTACCTCTAAGGTGGCTTTGGAATCCGGCATGGCACCTCTTGTTCTTGTTGTTTATCGTCAAGTTTTTGCCACCCTTGCTATCGCTCCTTTTGCTTATTTCCTTGAAAGGTATAATTTTTTATGTCTTTTTTTAAATTATTGTTTATGATACGAGGTATTGATTTTCAAAAAATGCACCGGGAAAATACTAGAGAATGAACCTACTTACAATAAGAATATTAATTTATATCTTTGAAATTTGCCTCTAGCTAGTTCCATCAAAATTAAGAGAACAAGAAATTCTAACAAAACACTTGGTTTGAACTTAACTTTTCAATAAGAATACTCACCACGCAACAAAACCTAATAACTTCCCAACACACAAAACATGTAAACTAAAACAAACCAAGTTCCGAAGAAATGAACACCAAATGCACAATATATAACACTATTTTGAATAAATTACAAGTAATTATTCAAAGCAACTTTTCAAGTTTCATTTTTTTTTTTTAAAAAATCAAGCTAAGGCAATGTACCATAACTATATGTGTACAAACATATACTTCATTATAGATTGAATAGTTATTAAGAATTCATAATTTTTGCTAAAACTTCATGCATGATATGTGTTTTAACGTTGTCATGCTATTGATATTTTGAGCTTATTATACAAATACAACTATGCATTATTATATTCTTGATTATAACCTTGCATGCTAAGAAAAATTATTTCTCTACCCAAAAAAAAAAAAAAAAAAAAAAACCTTTGCTACTAGTATCGATCTAATCTTCTTCTAATTGAACTAAACTAACAACATAATTTAAGAAAATGGCAAATGCATTGGTTTACTTTACTATAAAAAATCGCAGCGAATTAAATAACGATGTTATAGTTGTTAATTGCATGCATTCAAAGCAACCTAGTTGATCAATCATATCCTATCAATCTCGAGCTGCCACATACTTAATTTGTTCCTTTACTTTGATCCAATGATGTTTAATATAAATAAATAACTTTTAAAATAATTTTCTCATTTTAAAGTTGTTTCATATCAACCAATTACCATCGTTAAGGTACGTATATGTGCATATGTCATATGAACATTCCTTAGCTATCACATTAAAAACATCCTAATAAAGTGATACACGCGATAAACATCGTACAGCCTGTAAGCACGGGTTTAAAATGTCCTCACATTTATATGCAATATTGCAATCATATAACTTAATAAAACTCCTAATAAAGTGATACACGCGATACATCAAGGTTCTTGTACCTTTGTTTCTATTAAATTAAACTAGTTTACCGTTAATTACAATTTATAACTGAGTCATTTTTGTATCTATAATTCACGAGAGTTTTCTAAAGTATCTTGATCTATATCTGGTGATAGATCGAGTAATAATAGTATCATTTTGAAGAAACTCGCCATATATAATTAATTAAAAGCATTAATGGTGTGTTAGTTTAGTTATTACTTTGATTTAATATAAAAGTACGATAAAGTGCTTAAATTGCGAAGCTTTCATACAACACATTATATGGCCAAAACTAATTAGTGAATACCAGCTATCCTATTTGATACCATACATGCCCTAAAAGCACCTGCAACAATGAGGATTTGTATCCTTTTAGCTCACTTTTTTGTTGGCTAAAAGGATCCTCATTGATGTGAAAGAGGGGGAAAGGATCCTCTTGATAAGAGGAAAAGGTGGTTTCCTCTTAATGGAAAGGATTCTTTTCCTTGGCTCTTGTGCCAAAAGCTTTATTATTTTTAGTTTTTGTTTTTTTTTTTAAACTATTATATTAATAAATAATTATATAAATAAGAGATAGAATATATAGTGGGGGTATATGTAAATAGGAGATTGAAAATGAGAAAGGATCCTTATTGATGTTGAAAATATTAGAGAAGGAGAATGAGAAAAAGGATGGAGATAGTGAGAAGTGATGTGGAAGAAAGAGAATATGATGTGTCGATTGGAGAAAAAAAGAAATAAAATGGGAAAGGATATATTTATCCTCACCATTGTTGATGCTCTTAGTTTCTAGACTTTGAAGACATACTATTAGAGATATGAGATATCGGAAAAGAATAGATATGCAACAGACACAATAACATACAAAGAATTGAAAATGGTTGTCCAGCTAATGATTAATTAAACAGGCAATTCAAGTAATAGTAATTGTTGAAGCAACTTGAAGCTAGCTAGACATGCTAACCTTGAAGCAAAGGGTAGTCCAAAACACAATTAGTAACTCAAAAGTAATGCCAACAATATAGAAAAACTAAAAGCAATAATAATCTACACATATATAAATAGTAAGATTATATAAATGAGAACAGCTGTATTATTACTGTATAAAACTGGTGATCAGGTTTCCAATAAATAAACCCAACTATTTGGTAAGGTGTTAATTGGGTTAATGCATGTAAATAAAACAAAAACATGCACCAATTAGCTTGGTTTTGCTTTGAATGAATGAACGTTTATGTATTGCTTTTCTATTTTGCATGCATGAGTCTTATTTTCGTTCCTTCCCCACGTTATTTTACACTTTCCTAAGTTATAACAAACTTACAATATAATAGTCCAATTCGTTATTACGTGGCTTTGAATGAATGAATGTTTACTTTAATTTCTTGTTTTCTTTCTCCGTTTTCATAGTACGGTTGTACTATAGTGGTACTATAAGGTACACTATTAGCTAGCTTGTTATTACTTCAATACTACGTAATTGTTTAATGTTTTAATTTTAATTTTAATTTTTAGATTTTTTACTTAAAAATATACGTAGTATATACTTGTGAAAATGCATGTATTTATACACATAGAACGATGTATAAAGTACTTGACTACGCAACTTATGAATAGTAATAAAATTTTATTTTTTTCGTTTTTGTTACACTATAGGCTTGTTGCATAAGAATTGAATAAACCATACTTATTCATAAATCATAATTCAACTTTGAAAAGTATAATAAGTATAATAAATTAGAAAACCATTGAGATAACTAATTAAAAACCCCTCAAATATAAAATTTTCTACTTTAAATGTGGAATAACATCAATGTATGTAAGTATATGTATGTTGTATAAACAAAAATGGTATAAAAGTATTTCATTCTCTTAATTAGCAGCTTTAGCTCTGTTTGAACTAATAATTGTTACACCTTAAACAGTAATATCTAATTTATATTTAGACTATTAACTAGCTATTCATTTTAACTTTATTTGTTTCTTACAATTATATATGTTACTAATCAATGTAGAAATTTTTTCTCTTTTTGTGTAGAGAAAAAAGGCCCAAGATCACCAAGAAAATTCTCTTTCAAATATTCCTATGTTCCCTTTTTGGGTAAGTAGTATGACTATATATGGTGTATGGATGATTATTCTATTAATAGAATAATTATTCAATCATCATCATCAAGAAAATAAGAAAGATATATGTTTAATGGCCTAATTAATTTGATTTTGTAAAATACAGGGCAACCTTAAACCAGATATTTTATTTCGTGGGATTGAAAGCAACCACTGCTACAATTGCTTGTGCATTGAATAACATGCTCCCAGCAATGACCTTCCTCCTTGCCATTCCTTTAGGGTATGCCATTTTTCTCGACTAGTCTCATACGTCGTTGTTACACCTATTTTAAACTATCATTATATCTCGAATGACTTCAGATCTAAAATTGAGATTGATAACAAGACAATTATTTAAAGACAAAAGAAATATTTTATTATATCCAATTTTTGTCCTAACATGACGTGTTGGTTAATAATAGGTTAGAAACAGTTGGAATCAAGACGATGGGAGGACAAGCCAAAATAATAGGCACAATAGTGTGCATTGGTGGAGCTATGCTACTTTCATTTTACCATGGTCATCTCATCGACATACACCAACCCGATTTTCACTGGCATTTTGCTGGTAATGGTTCTGCGAACACAAACACAAATGGTTCAAGTAGTCACCTAAGCGCGTTGCTAGGACCAATTCTTCTCCTTGCAAGCAACCTTGCTATGGCTATTTGGTTCGTCATCCAAGTAAGTCCGTACAATCTTTACACATCATGTTACTTACTCTCCTTAACACATTATGAGTTCTTTATACACATATATTTTCCGATATCTCTAACAGTTTTTAATGAAAAGTTGTACAATTTTTGTAGGCCAAAATGAGTGAGGATTTTTCGGCTCCTTACACAAGCTCGGCCTTAATGGGTTTCATGGGTAGTATCCAATGTATCATAATAGCGGCTTGCACGAACCATCAACTTTCGGATTGGTCCTTAAGCTCTCCTATTAGATTGGTTGCTGGTCTTTACGCGGTAAGAATATATTTTTCACCCAATACTCAGATAATAATTCAATATTCCGTATTATTTTAAAATAATTCGAATTATTAATGGTCAATGTTATGCATTGATTTTATAGGGTGTTGTTGGCTCTGGAGTTGCGGTTTGCCTAATGGCATGGACGATTCAAGTAAAAGGCCCTTTGTATGTTTCAGTGTTCAGCCCCTTGTTGTTGGTGATTGTGGCTTTGCTTAGTTGGGCCTTGCGCATGGAGAAACTCTATATTGGAACGTAAGTACCAAACTACATAATATAGGCATATATTATACTAGTATTTAGATGGGCTTTCAAACAATGATTTTGTTAGACTAAGGGGTTGTTCTCATAGGCTGAACTCAGCTAAACTGAACTGAATTGAGCTGAGCTGAGCTGAACTGAACTGAAATAAATATTTTATAAGAGAATGAAATTAAGAGCTGAACTGAACTGAAAATAAACGTATGAGAACAGACCCTAAGAGAGTCTTTTTGTCCCGAAATAAAACTGTTGTGAGACCGGCTTACTTGAGACTTGTTACCGTGTTTAGGATCGGATGTGCATTATAACATGATGGTCGTGTTAACAATTTTTCGTGGTGTGGTCTGATTAACAGGGCTATAGGATCGGTGTTGATAGTATTGGGCTTATACGCAGTCTTATGGGGAAAGAACAAGGAAATTCTCAATGTTAGTAACGAAACGGACATTGCTAGTATCATATATGAAGACGACAAAGATGATCAAGCAGAGAAGGAAGATGTGGAGAAGCAACAACAATTGGTGATCATAAAGGCCAAATTTGGTGATCATTTGGAGTTGATAATATGATGAAGAGTTGTTATCGATGATTGTCAATGAATGTATGATGTTATGTTACATGCAAGCTAGTTTTCTTGCTCAAAAAGGGTCTTGAAGGGAATGTCAAATTTCAGGTCTCCATCTCAATTAAAAAAAAAAAGAGAGAAAAAAAAAAAAAAAATGTCCCTTCAAATTTTCGTAAATTTAAAATTGTCAAATTAGCTATATCTTCCTATATCTAGGTTGTGGTTGCCTTGTTCTTCCAATGGAATTATATGTGGAATAGGTCATTGCTTGGGCTGAAAGAAACTTTTCAATTATGATATATGGAGTATATTGCTCAATTTTGATATTGAAACACAAGTTTTCAAATTTTCCTAAATGAATGGCCCAAATTTCTTAAAATATTATCCACGTTTTTTTTTTCTTTCTTCTTAAAGCTACACATGAACGTATTTCAACTAATATAAACAAATTAAAGTACTTCGTTGTTAACTAGAAGATTGCTTTCATTAGAAACAAACACTTAAAAACTATTCTTGAGCATCCAAAGTTAATTTATGAAACATTGTGATCATCATCAATTGGCACTTGTTTTAAAAACAAAATATTTCTATATACGATAAATTATTCCTGTGAGGCTCACAAATGAATGGTTCAATTGTTATTTAATTAGATAATTACTCTATTTATTCTATCAACACTTATATGAGTCAAAATGGTGACACAAACACATTATCATCGTGATTAGTTCGAATCGAGTTATGGAACCTTATTAATTTTAATAAGCCTTTAAAATAGAATAAGAAACCAACACAAAAAACTTTCCACTCTAATATTAGTAAAGTTGAGGTAATGTGAGGAAGCAGAATGACAGAATCAGCATGTATGGCCCATAATTCATTAGCCCAACCCCATAATACGCTACTATTAGCGTACAATCTACGGCCTAAAAGCATAAACAAAAACCTATCACGTGACGTTTTCAAAAAAAAAAAAAAAAAAAAAAAACCCATCACGTGACTGATCCATTCCAACCATGTGTAATCATTGGTGCACCGCGCCACACAGAATAAATATGTTTTTTTAAAAAGATTGTAATTTAAATTTACAAATTCTCATATACTACGTATATACAAGTATATACTACGTATTTAGTCACACAGAGTTACTTCATTAGTGTTGAAAAAAATAAAAGTTACTTATTCTATCATATAGATATTACGGAGTACTTGATTAATGAAATAGGAGTTACTCAGTTAGACGGTTAGTATATATATATATATATATATATATATATATATATATATATATATATATATGGATTTGCTAGAATGAGAAATAAGAAATGAGAAAAGAAATCTCCACCCTTAGATTTTAGTAACCACCAACGGCTCAGATTAGAACATTAAAAATTCACCCTTCTCTTTCATCCCCCTCCCACGTTTCTATTTCATATGTATGGCTGGTTTCCTTTCTTTCTCTCTCCTCTCTTTTCTCTTTCCCTTATTTCTGTTTCCTTTAAACTTATCTTTTTTTTCATTTACATTGGCTCTTAATTTATGCAAGCAACAACTCCCACCGACTGAAGACCAATTCAGGGTAAATTTGACGGGTTTTTTCCCTTTTTTCACAATTTTACTTTTAGGGGTTCCCAATTAAAGTTGTTGGGGTTTCCAATTAAACGTTTCTTATTGCTTTTGATCAATCATAATTTTAGTTTCAGGGATCTGCAATTAAATAAAGTTTTTGATTTTTATTTTACAAATTCTACAATATTTGTTAATTATGGTTTTTAAAAATTGTTCTTTTTTACCCAAAATTTGTGTTTTTTGATTCATTTGTTACGAAACCTATGATACTCTTGGAAATGGTTAGTGGCCTAGTGCCTTGATATATTGGTTGTTGTGCTTACTGATTAGTGGAATAAGAAACATATTAGCTTCTTTTTTTGAGATCTAAAATATATACTACGTAATAGGCAGAGTTACTCTTGGTTGTATCATTTTTTTTTGCATTCATAAGTTGAATTTTCGGATATTATTAGATAAAAAAAATGATTTTGTGAAACCTAATAGCTCAAAAGGTAGAGCATTGTGCATTTGCACAAGGTTGTGGGTTCGATTCCCTCATGGGTTATCAGTTAGTCGTAATTTGTTGTTTCCTGAGTTGTAGTTTTGGCATTATTGCATTAATCGTATACTGAAATCAATATAGCAATGGAGCATGTAAAAATGGAGCTGAACCAAATAGAAATGCAGATAATAATTATTCAAGATAAATATATATTTGTCATTCAATCCCAATCACAAAATCAATTATATGTCCATGTGAGACAAAAAATGGAATAACTCTGCAAACATTCAATAGCCAAATTAAACCCAACACCGTCTGAAGTGCCTATATATTGTTAATAAGGAATAACTAACCAAAGAAGAGAATCAATCCTCTTTGATAGGGCAATTGCGACTATCATGTTGTGCATATTTTCCACATGATTTACAGAGTCTCTGTCGCTTTTGCTTATCTTCAATAGCCTTCTCTTTCCCACTTGGAATTCTCTTGCCACTTCCTTTAGTTATTGAATGCTTTGGTGGATGAATATCAATTTTCACTGGAATGGTAGACTCCACATATGCTTCCAAATCATTTGTCTTGTTATCTACACAAACATTGGTACTCTCGAGCAAAGATTTTTTTAAATCTATGATCCCATTCCTTAAAACACGAATTTTATTAATATCATAACCGTCCAATTCTGCACAACCATGAAAATCTTTCCATAACTCAGATATTTCTATATTAGCAAGTTGAATTTGAGAACAACCTTCATCTACAATAGTATCCATATCAAATATAAGTGAGCAAGTTGCACTTTTAGTCCATCTGTGAACAATATAATATGATGGTATTGCATCAATTCCCCTGCCCTTGAAAACACAAAGAATATGACGACATGGAATGCCATCTTGTTCAAATAACTTACATGAGCAATGAGCCACATTGTCCAAAGTATTATAAGATACAATTCTTTGCTTTGGTTTCCAAGGATTATTGTCATGAACTTCAAATATTATACTTCCATTTTCCTCTTTGGTCTCCTTAACTCCACAATACATACAAGAACACCAAAATTCCTTTTGAAAGACATAAAAATTTACATGAGTATAAATATCTCTTGCATGCTTTTCTATACTATGATTTGTCTTCAATATAGGAAGTGAATGTGATGTGTCATGATCAGATTTTTTTTGGTTATGCCTCTGCCTGTCGATAATACTTTCATATCGAACCCAAAATTCAACCAAATTGAGCCACTTATCTGTAAGACTACCAAATACCGAATTTTCACTTTCAGAAATAGAAGTTGTTCTAAATAAACCAGCCAAGAACAAGTCTTTGAAGTATGCAGGTATCCATGAGTGTCGTATCTCGTACATAGAAGAGAACCACTCGTTTTTTGTGAGCTCAAACTCATTAACAACTTGTGTCCAACTATGCTCAAATTCCTCTGGAGTCTCTGATTGCCACACACATGATTTAAATTTATCTTGAAAATCCTCGTTACTATTAAGACTTCCACCTACCTTCTCATAAACTTTTTTTAAAATATGCCACATGCAAAATCGATGAGAAGAGGTATCAAATATATTTTTTATTGCAGCTTTCATTGCTGGATCTTGATCGGTGGTTATGCATCTAGGTTTATGACCACCCATTGCTTCTAAGAACTTCTCAAACAACCAAGTAAAGGATTCAGTTTTCTCATCACACAAAAATGCAGCACCAAATGTAATGCATTGTCGATGATGATTTCTTCCGGTAAATGGAGCAAATATCATTGAGTATTTATTTGTTCCATATGTCGTATCAAAAGAGACAATATCACCAAAAGTGGCATAATTTTTTCTCCTAATGCCATCAGCCCAGAAAAAAATACTTTAACCGATGTTCATCATCTACCTTATATGCAAAATAATAAGAAGGATCAAGTTCTTTTTTTATTTCAAAATTCTCTTTAAACATCTGTGCATCATAATCACTGATCATAATTTTAAGTCATGTTTGATAATTTTGAAGGTCTTTTTGCGTACATCCAACTTTATCATATCCTCCAACTTGATGTTTAATCAACTGATATGCTTTGGTAGGTCCTATATTGGCTCGACTACATGTGAATAAAACAGCCTTATGCATAGAATTAACCTTTCTTGCCGATCTCAAAAGGTGTCTCTTTGTAGGAGTTGCAAGTGCATGGGTATGGTGCTCAACAAACTCCTTAATCTCATATTTACCCTCTTCCGTTCACTTGATTTTGATTTTGGCACCACACCCTTCTCTTGTTTCTTTCAACCTTTTAGATCTACCCCCATTCATAGATTGATTTGTAGGTTGATTATAACCTTCTTTAGAACACAAAAAAATATTTCCATATAACAAAACCAGTCTTCTTATCTTTCACCTCCGTCGAAGACCTAACGCTAAAACCAATATTATGTGCATACCGTTTGTAAAATTCTGCTCCTTCATCTAAGTTATTAAATATCATTCCTAGTGATGGCCTGACATTATCCATTGCCTTGATTGCCTTCATAAGGGGTAACAATAAACATGTATCGAATAAGTAAAAGATATTATAATTGATGATGTAATTAAAAAATACATTAATGGTGTGCTACTGTTAGATAATACAGAGTATGAAATTTTAAGCATTTTTTATTAATGAAATGAAAATTGAATGTATGTACCTATTCCATATAAACACACAAAGACAATAATCAATCAAAGAAAACCCCAAAATCATGTACTATCTAGTTAACCACTTGATTTGATATTAATAAAAAAAAAATGCAAACAAACGAACAAGAATTATTCAAGCCAACAATTATCAAGTCTAGGTATTATTAAAAAAATAAAAAAAACAAATACCAGTCCATACCTCAATTGTAATTGAAATTGTTGGTCAAAGCAGCAAGATAATACTATTGTAAAGGAGCAACTTGTCCAAAGTATTATAAGATACAATTCTTTGCTTTGGTTTCCAAGGATTACTGTCATGAACTTCAAATATTATACTTCCATTTTCCTCTTTGGTCTCCTTAACTCCACAATACATACAAGAACACCAAAATTCCTTTTGAAAGACATAAAAATTTACATGAGTATAAATATCTCTTGCATGCTTTTCTATACTATGATTTGTCTTCAATATAGGAAGTGAATGTGATGTGTCATGATCAGATTTTTTTTGGTTATGCCTCTGCCTGTCGATAATACTTTCATATCGAACCCAAAATTCAACCAAATTGAGCCACTTATCTGTAAGACTACCAAATACCGAATTTTCACTTTCAGAAATAGAAGTTGTTCTAAATAAACCAGCCAAGAACAAGTCTTTGAAGTATGCAGGTATCCATGAGTGTCGTATCTCGTACATAGAAGAGAACCACTCGTTTTTTGTGAGCTCAAACTCATTAACAACTTGTGTCCAACTATGCTCAAATTCCTCTGGAGTCTCTGATTGCCACACACATGATTTAAATTTATCTTGAAAATCCTCGTTACTATTAAGACTTCCACCTACCTTCTCATAAACTTTTTTTAAAATATGCCACATGCAAAATCGATGAGAAGAGGTATCAAATATATTTTTTATTGCAGCTTTCATTGCTGGATCTTGATCGGTGGTTATGCATCTAGGTTTATGACCACCCATTGCTTCTAAGAACTTCTCAAACAACCAAGTAAAGGATTCAGTTTTCTCATCACACAAAAATGCAGCACCAAATGTAATGCATTGTCGATGATGATTTCTTCCGGTAAATGGAGCAAATATCATTGAGTATTTATTTGTTCCATATGTCGTATCAAAAGAGACAATATCACCGAAAGTGGCATAATTTTTTCTCCTAATGCCATCAGCCCAGAAAAAAATACTTTAACCGATGTTCATCATCTACCTTATATGCAAAATAATAAGAAGGATCAAGTTCTTTTTTTATTTCAAAATTCTCTTTAAACATCTGTGCATCATAATCACTGATCATAATTTTAAGTCATGTTTGATAATTTTGAAGGTCTTTTTGCGTACATCCAACTTTATCATATCCTCCAACTTGATGTTTAATCAACTGATATGCTTTGGTAGGTCCTATATTGGCTCGACTACATGTGAATAAAACAGCCTTATGCATAGAATTAACCTTTCTTGCCGATCTCAAAAGGTGTCTCTTTGTAGGAGTTGCAAGTGCATGGGTATGGTGCTCAACAAACTCCTTAATCTCATATTTACCCTCTTCCGTTCGCTTGATTTTGATTTTGGCACCACACCCTTCTCTTGTTTCTTTCAACCTTTTAGATCTACCCCCATTCATAGATTGATTTGTAGGTTGATTATAACCTTCTTTAGAACACAAAAAAATATTTCCATATAACAAAACCAGTCTTCTTATCTTTCACCTCCGTCGAAGACCTAACGCTAAAACCAATATTATGTGCATACCGTTTGTAAAATTCTGCTCCTTCATCTAAGTTATTAAATATCATTCCTAGTGATGGCCTGACATTATCCATTGCCTTGATTGCCTTCATAAGGGGTAACAATAAACATGTATCGAATAAGTAAAAGATATTATAATTGATGATGTAATTAAAAAATACATTAATGGTGTGCTATTGTTAGATACTACAGAGTATGAAATTTTAAGCATTTTTTATTAATGAAATGAAAATTGAATGTATGTACCTATTCCATATAAACACACAAAGACAATAATCAATCAAAGAAAACCCCAAAATCATGTACTATCTAGTTAACCACTTGATTTGATATTAATAAAAAAAAAATGCAAACAAACGAACAAGAATTATTCAAGCCAACAATTATCAAGTCTAGGTATTATTAAAAAAATAAAAAAAACAAATACCAGTCCATACCTCAATTGTAATTGAAATTGTTGGTCAAAGCAGCAAGATAATACTATTGTAAAGGAGCAACTTGTCCAAAGTATTATAAGATACAATTCTTTGCTTTGGTTTCCAAGGATTACTGTCATGAACTTCAAATATTATACTTCCATTTTCCTCTTTGGTCTCCTTAACTCCACAATACATACAAGAACACCAAAATTCCTTTTGAAAGACATAAAAATTTACATGAGTATAAATATCTCTTGCATGCTTTTCTATACTATGATTTGTCTTCAATATAGGAAGTGAATGTGATGTGTCATGATCAGATTTTTTTTGGTTATGCCTCTGCCTGTCGATAATACTTTCATATCGAACCCAAAATTCAACCAAATTGAGCCACTTATCTGTAAGACTACCAAATACCGAATTTTCACTTTCAGAAATAGAAGTTGTTCTAAATAAACCAGCCAAGAACAAGTCTTTGAAGTATGCAGGTATCCATGAGTGTCGTATCTCGTACATAGAAGAGAACCACTCGTTTTTTGTGAGCTCAAACTCATTAACAACTTGTGTCCAACTATGCTCAAATTCCTCTGGAGTCTCTGATTGCCACACACATGATTTAAATTTATCTTGAAAATCCTCGTTACTATTAAGACTTCCACCTACCTTCTCATAAACTTTTTTTAAAATATGCCACATGCAAAATCGATGAGAAGAGGTATCAAATATATTTTTTATTGCAGCTTTCATTGCTGGATCTTGATCGGTGGTTATGCATCTAGGTTTATGACCACCCATTGCTTCTAAGAACTTCTCAAACAACCAAGTAAAGGATTCAGTTTTCTCATCACACAAAAATGCAGCACCAAATGTAATGCATTGTCGATGATGATTTCTTCCGGTAAATGGAGCAAATATCATTGAGTATTTATTTGTTCCATATGTCGTATCAAAAGAGACAATATCACCGAAAGTGGCATAATTTTTTCTCCTAATGCCATCAGCCCAGAAAAAAATACTTTAACCGATGTTCATCATCTACCTTATATGCAAAATAATAAGAAGGATCAAGTTCTTTTTTTATTTCAAAATTCTCTTTAAACATCTGTGCATCATAATCACTGATCATAATTTTAAGTCATGTTTGATAATTTTGAAGGTCTTTTTGCGTACATCCAACTTTATCATATCCTCCAACTTGATGTTTAATCAACTGATATGCTTTGGTAGGTCCTATATTGGCTCGACTACATGTGAATAAAACAGCCTTATGCATAGAATTAACCTTTCTTGCCGATCTCAAAAGGTGTCTCTTTGTAGGAGTTGCAAGTGCATGGGTATGGTGCTCAACAAACTCCTTAATCTCATATTTACCCTCTTCCGTTCGCTTGATTTTGATTTTGGCACCACACCCTTCTCTTGTTTCTTTCAACCTTTTAGATCTACCCCCATTCATAGATTGATTTGTAGGTTGATTATAACCTTCTTTAGAACACAAAAAAATATTTCCATATAACAAAACCAGTCTTCTTATCTTTCACCTCCGTCGAAGACCTAACGCTAAAACCAATATTATGTGCATACCGTTTGTAAAATTCTGCTCCTTCATCTAAGTTATTAAATATCATTCCTAGTGATGGCCTGACATTATCCATTGCCTTGATTGCCTTCATAAGGGGTAACAATAAACATGTATCGAATAAGTAAAAGATATTATAATTGATGATGTAATTAAAAAATACATTAATGGTGTGCTATTGTTAGATACTACAGAGTATGAAATTTTAAGCATTTTTTATTAATGAAATGAAAATTGAATGTATGTACCTATTCCATATAAACACACAAAGACAATAATCAATCAAAGAAAACCCCAAAATCATGTACTATCTAGTTAACCACTTGATTTGATATTAATAAAAAAAAATGCAAACAAACGAACAAGAATTATTCAAGCCAACAATTATCAAGTCTAGGTATTATTAAAAAAATAAAAAAAACAAATACCAGTCCATACCTCAATTGTAATTGAAATTGTTGGTCAAAGCAGCAAGATAATACTATTGTAAAGGAGCAATTTTTGTCGTTTTTGCCGATCACATAATTTTTTGGTCAATTGATCAATTAAAGGAGAATGAAGAGCTTATTGAAAAAAAAGGAACTGAAATAGAAACGTGGGAGGGGGATGAAAGAGAAGGGTGAATTTTTAATGTTCTAATCTGAGCCGTTGGTGGTTACTAAAATCTAAGGGTGGAGATTTCTTTTCTCATTTCTTATTTCTCATTCTAGCAAATCCCTATATATATATATTTTTCCGGATGTTTAGAGAGATCAAGTGAAATACGAAGGAGAGTTCTAACCACTTGAGTTATCCCTTACACTAAAATTTTATTTTATTATCTTACAAATAATTATATGATGTGATTAGCCACACAAAATACATTGAACATTGACACATTTTGCAAATAAAAAACCGAGAAATAATCTAACGGCAAATTCTTACACCGTTATAACGTCTGTCTTTGGGCCCACAGCCCATGCAAGGCCCATCTATAAATACCCAAACACTGATCCAGAAATAATTGACGGACCGTTGATTAATAAAAAAAACTTGATAAACGGGCAGCTTATTCTAGATCTGCCCGCCGTCCCTTGTTGAAGCCCTAGCTCAATTTTCTCTCTCTACTTTGTAAGTTCTTTCTCTCTCTACAATTCTTCTCTTTCTCTCTCCTCAATTTCTTCCCTCATTTCTATAATCATTATCAGATCCAACGGTAAAAGTTTAAATCCGGTAATTTACCGATTTGAATTAGGTTAGCAAAAATCGATCGATCGAATTAGGTTTTCTGATTCGAATTGCTGAGATTTGTGTTCTAATGTTAATTAATTTCGAAATTCAATTTCATTTACATGTTATTATTGATTCTTGTGATTGTTTTTGTGGATTGTGATGTAGATTTGAAGGAAAAATGGGGCTTTCATTCACGAAGCTGTTCAGTAGGTTATTTGCGAAGAAAGAGATGAGAATATTGATGGTGGGTCTCGATGCGGCTGGTAAGACTACCATTTTGTATAAGCTCAAGCTCGGTGAGATTGTTACCACCATTCCTACCATTGGTAAGAGTTTCAAGAATATTCTAATATTCTTCAATTTATTTATTTATTTATTTTTTTTTTTATTTTTTTTTTTGTATTTGTTTATGTTATGTTAAGTATTTTGTTGATATTTATGTACTTCAATGATAATGAATAGATATTATGGTGGATCATTTGGTTGGGATTGAAGGTTATGTACTTCTGTTTGATTTTATGTTTGTTTGATCCAAAATAATTGTCATTTAAGTCATTGTCACAGTAATTGTCGATGGGTTATTGGTTTTGCATGTAATTATTGGTGGTTTTTGCAATATATCTGATGTATGATTAAGTGGCAATTACTGTTGCATTAATTTACTGATTTGTATTTGTAAAAATTGTTCCGGGATCTGAGGGAGTGTTCTCGTTATGTTTGAAGACCCATTTGTATTAGTTTCTGGAATTAATTGATTAAATATCTCGTTGTGAGGATTTTGAATATCGGGTCATGGGTGTTAAATAGAGAATCTTGATGACAGAGTGAATGAAGTTACCTTGATACTTCATAGATTATTGGTGGAATTCTTGTCATTGATTGAGTTTTGTCTGGTTGGTTAGCCATATGGTGTCGCTATGTGATTTAAAAAAAAAAAAAAAAAAATTCCCCTGTTAATGCTTTTGAAAGGATCATTCTAAGTTATTGTTTTTCTATTTCCTACCACTTGTGTACTATCTACTATGTTACGTTGCAGTCAATTTCTGCATTAAACAAGAAGCCAAGGATTAACAAGTGTGTTCTTTTGCTTTTTGAATAGGATTCAATGTTGAGACAGTGGAATACAAAAACATTAGCTTTACAGTGTGGGATGTTGGAGGTCAGGACAAGGTATTGCAATCATCCATCTTTTTATTTGTTTCTTGTTAGATATGCATGCCTTTTAGTTTGAAGCATACTCTAACACTTCAGTGCTTATTGATGTTCTTTTGCTGATTTTTTTATTTTCTTCATTGCCACTCAACAAAATCATTAGCTATACTGATTATGAGGGAAGAATATCCATGTTGTAGTTTATATCATTACTCAGTCCTTGTTTAAAAGGAGTAATTAAAGATTACATATTATGGTTGCTGATCTGACCACTTGAGTTCCATGAAGGTGTAATCATAATTGATTTGCATGCTTATTGACTGTGTTGTGCTGATTGCTTGCTCTCCTTCAGCACCTAACATTAATCATAAGCAACATCAATTGATGCCGCCTCGTCTCTCAGTTTTTCCTTATTGCTGTAAGGGAAGGCTATCCATGCTGTGGCTGACACCATTCACAAATCCCTGTAAAACCCCATCCACCTTTTTATATTGTAGAATACTGGGTGTGCTTTTCGAAGAATGTGTTTGCTCATTTGATGGTTTTGTTCTGTTATCTGTACATTACATAATAATTGAGCTATTTATGGTTTCACTTACATGTTTTGAATTTTCTTCTGGCTAAACAATGGAAAGATGCCATGAAGGCCTCTATTATCTGTTGTATTTTCTTTATAATTATTGTAATGCAATGCTTATTTATGGTCCAGTGCTGATTTTATGTCCTTGAATTGGCACTCTACGTCTTCATAAGCAAGATAAAAGTGGGTTGCACTTACATGTTTTTAGTTTTCTTTCTGATTATAGTGGAAGGATGCCATGAAGGCCCCAATAATCTGTTGTATTTTCTTTAATATTATTGCAATGCAAGAATGCTTATTTATGGTCCAGTGCTGATTGTATGTCCTTGAATTGGCACTCTACGTCTTCATAAGCTAGATAAATATGGGCTTCGTTTTGAGTTCCCTTGCTTTTGCCTATGTAAATGTGGAACTCATGATACTGCTCACATTACTCAAATTTTTAACATGTTTATACTTTAAGTTGACTTCATTGTGTTCCTTATTTCAAGTAGTTGGTCAACTGGGTCAAATTGTTGTTTGATTTTCAATTCTTTCTTTGATCCAGATTCGACCTTTATGGAGACATTACTTTCAAAACACCCAAGGACTCATCTTTGTGGTGGATAGTAATGATCGTGATCGTGTGGTTGAGGCAAGGGATGAGCTGCATAGAATGTTGAATGAGGTGAGCAATGATAGTGGGATTTGAGATGGAGCATTTTTTTATTTATTTTTTGGTTATTTTTAATAAAAGATGTATTTTTCATTGATGTTATCATTCTTGTTCCTGTGCAGGATGAGTTGAGGGATGCTGTCCTGTTGGTCTTTGCCAACAAGCAAGATCTTCCAAATGCAATGACTGCTGCAGAAATTACTGATAAGCTTGGTCTTCATTCCCTTCGTCAGCGTCACTGGTTAGTGTAATCTTATTGTTTTGTTGTACAATAACATACTTGTGATTAAACGTGAATAGTTTCTAAATTCTGAATTTGTCTGTACAGGTATATCCAGAGCACATGCGCCACTTCTGGTGAAGGTCTTTACGAGGGATTGGACTGGCTGTCCAACAACATTGCCAGCAAGGTGATTTTTTTATATATCAAGAGATACCTTCTTCAAATACTATCGTTGCATTTATCTTAACTGAATTTTTCTTATTGTTCTTGTCACAGGCCTAGATGAAGGATCCGCCTGGCTGAGCTTAGGATATATGGTGGATTTTGAAGCACCCTGTTTATGTGGGAGATAATATCGAGCTTTTGGCCTTTGTTTTTTGTTTGCTATGTTAAAAAAGATCACAAGAGTGGTTGTGTTAATGTGATTATGCTTATGAAGGTTTTGTTATGATCATAGAAATTGCTATATGATATCAATACTTTTGTAGATTCAGAATAACTAAAATGTATCTCAGGAAAGAGTTTGTTTCATGTTGATATATACTGTGACCGCGATATTCTTTGGAACAATCAATCCCAGTTCCATCTTCCAATTGTGCTTATGTAGGGACTCGATGTTTAGTCAGTTAGATCTATCTTCCAATTGTGCTTATCAAGGGACTTGTGCCTCATCTGAATGATTCTTTAGTATTTCACCTTATTAACTAGTATATCAACCTGTAATCTGTTGGCTTTTTTTCGTTGAAGGTGTTTAATTGTTGTTCTGCGAGTTCAAAGTTTGTTGAAAGAGTAATCTCATTCTAACCAAAGAAAGGTAACTGTAACTTTCAACCTACCAGACAATTTATAATTCCCAAAGATCTGTAGTGGAGGCAAATTTCATACACTAGTCATGAAGTAATAATGGCCTTGTGAGTTTTGGCAATGAAATGCAACAATTTGATCATTATTTATTAATTAAAATTGCCTTTTAATTCGTAGCAATGGAAGATCCTAAGGTTGTAAGAAATTGCCTTGATTTCTTACTCAATTATTAACAACAGGTTACTAAACTCGATTAGGATTTGATTTTTCGCCTGAATTTGTTGTACTAGTATACTACTCCGTAATATAGTAGTATAGAACTTAAGTGAAAATATTGTAGTACTGTTATTCAAAAAATAAAAAAGGAAAATATTCTAGTAATGTAATTGAGAATCTTCTCTTTGATGTAATATATGCTCTACCTTTATGCGTGATATAAACTTGTTTATAATTTAGAGATAAATTTTGTTTTCCCTTTGAGTAGAAATCATCCCAAGGAAAGAGAAGTACTCGAAACAAATTTTAAAATCCAAGAAATTAATAGAGGCCATAAAAAAATTAAAAATTATAGACAATAGTCCACTATTCCACTATAGTAGCTTGGCTATGGTTTGGAAAGTGTCAAAGTGCTTACATTCTCAATTTCTCATACAAACTGCAAAGAGGAAGTAAAATGGACTCTTTCATTAGAACGCTTTCCTATACAAAAATAAATTTTGACCCGAAACTGTGCAAGTTTACGCGTACAAGTTGGTACAACAGTAATAGTATAAAAACTCCTGAATGCTAAACGTATTCAGTCCAAAACTCAAATGCTAGCTATAGCCTGTAAATTGTTTGATGAAGTAATAGTAGTATAACTTTAAACCTGATAAGTTTAATAACTTAAAGTTATGGATGTAAAAACTATTGTCTTAGTACTCTGTTTGAGCTGAAGGTGAAGTTGTCTTCGCCAGCAAGGGTGGAATGCAGCCTTCCTGCAGCCCATCCATTGTTTGTTACACGAGCAGCAGCATGAGCAGGATCACCAACGACACAAGTGCCTTCAATACGCTTCTCAAATTCTGGGAGGCCATTTGCTTTTCTTTCTTTCCTCCTTTTTCTCTCCTCATCTCGTTCTTTCCTCAGCCAACTCTCCACTGTCCTCTGCAAGTAGACCAGAATAAGGAGTGTCACTTCATACAGCTTACAAGGAGCCTAGTATTATACTTAAACTTAAGGCGGAGGGGGTGGGGGGCTGTTGGAGGACTTACCATTAATGACAAATTTGACATCTCCTTAACTTTTTCCATGGGCAATGATAATTGTAACTTTCCGCGAGCCACATACACCTGCAGAGAATACATTTAGTCAGATTATAGAAATCAATTAAAACATAGATTAATCACAAAATATATCAGAGATAAACTTAACCCACAATATGTGTTGGCCAGTTCTCGAGCCCATCAAATATATGTGTCGCATAGATGACTATAGCACCTCTCTCTTCACATTCCTTGATGAGAAACTTAAGAAGGTCAGCTCTTCCCAGCACATCAAGGTCAACTGTGATCTCATCAAGAAGAAGAACCTGGATAAACAGGACAAGGTTTAGCTCAACAAAGCATATCATCCAGGTACTACCGTACTGCCCTTGGAAAAAATATGAACTCAAGCAACTGCAAGCCTGCGACATATACCTTAAATGGCTTGAGAAGACCCATACAGATTTGAACTCGTCTTCTCTGACCATCAGATACTTTGTGCATCCTCCAAGACAGATCAATGTCCAGCACCTAATGACAAAAAAACAGTCTAACATGTCACAGCCATTCCATTTATTATGTTTTTAGTTTCTTTTTTAAAAAGGCAAAGGGAACAGATCAAACGGACATTATTAAAATACTGGAATACTGAACCAAGCAGGCGTGGCATATAATTATCATCTCTTCTAGCATAGTAAATTGAAGTGAAGGGAAGCAGTAAACTAGGATAAAGACGGATCCAACCCAAAAACATTTTTTCTGGCCAACTGATCATACATCTTATTCTAAATGCTTGATCTAAAATTTCTTAATTGACTGGTTTGTAGACAATGAGAAGCTTCAATTTAAATTTAGAGTTGGACACCCATAGAGAATATCCATCTAGATCAAGAGGCTAAGTCACCAATAGTTTTAGAAAAAATATGAGAGGATGCTGGACAAATTTTCGCTTCGGTCACACTTCTCTTTATTCATTTCTATTGTCTACTCAGTAATCCACCAAAGAATTGGTGACTATGTCCTTTGGTCACCTATATGCTTGCTCTAAGAGAGGAAGTATTGGTCACTCGCAGACAGACCTTTTCTAAAAGACCCACCCTCAGGTCAGTTTAATTCTTTTCACCAAATTCCAATTCTGATGCAGGCTTCTTGTTTTATCCTCTTTGAACATCACATCTCATTCTCACCCTAAGAATAAATTAAGTTTACAATACTTGTGATACGTAAAATCTATAGATCTACACTGAAAGAATAGATTATTAACAACTGAACAGGAGGCGATCTGGTAAAGTGCAACCGATACCAGGTAAATGGTTCTGAAAAAAGCAGACATTTGGCATTGGAGGCATGCTGGCATTTACAAGAATTATGTGGACAATGCTTCATTTGATATGCACTAGACGATGAAACTGAAAAGGATGATCTTATGCTTGACCCGGCAAAATTAGTTTGGCTTTTGAGCAGATTAAGAGAAAGGAGAAGAAGATGGAATAACTCCTCTGTCAAACCCAAAAGAGAATCGAAAATCTCTGGGGAGAGAAGTTATATGGTTACTAGACCCCAGATCTGAAGTTCTGAACATTGGAAGATTTCTTCTTCCCTAATCATATCACTGGAAATGTACTATTCACTATTTAATATTACAATGAAGAAAATCACCCTGAATTTGGAAGTCACACAGTAATAAAATCAAGAGCATCAAAAGCACACTACAAGAAGAATTCACAAGTTCATACAACAAGCATTTGTTAACAGTCTCTTAAATTTGCAGAGCAACAAGAAGAATTTTACATGACAAGGGCGAGAAAAAAGAAGATCAAAGGGCTACGGACTATCATCAACTGCTGGAGAAAGCTATTTTTATAGATGCATAGATAAAGTAAGTTCCTCAAGAGTTGATTCATCCTCTCATCATTGGATCCCAAGAAAAGGAATGAGAAGTACTGCAGAATGATAATGAGGTTGCTAGATGTGGAGGGCAACAACTGCCAACATGCTTGTTGCATAGATCTATATCTAGCTCATTGTTTCAATAATGTATTGCAATGTTTTATAATGACAGTAGCCAAAAAGAGAGTTTTCAATCATCTGTGCGAGTTGCAAGGTTGGTAATGATCTGTTGCTCTGGTTCTAGTATAAGGAGATGCGGTGCAATTAACGACCAGGGGAATCATGACCTTCAAACTAAACAGTTTAAGATGTAAAGTTCTTCATCCAGCTAAGATCGTATTTTTTATGACCTCCCTTTTTATGGAGATTTTATATGTTCTCATTGATGATTTTCTGCAAGACATTGAAGATTCCAATACTAATACTGCACTAATATGTGTTACCTCAACACTATTCCCATTCTTGTAAAAAAAAAAACACTATTCCCATTGGTATTAACTAAAAAACATGCAGCATTGCAAACATATCAAACATAATACTACCTCCGTTACATATTATTTGCGACGATTTGACATAAAGTAGAGAGGAAAAATGTCTAATCGTTGCAAATAATATGTAACGGAGGTAGTATATTTTTCTCAACATACCTTTATTAGTTCAGCCCTTCTTGCAGGATCTACACCCCCAACTCCAAATATCATTTTCTCAGCAGAAACATCTATCTGTATAGAAACCTCAAATCCAGCAAAAGCAACATCTCGCTTCCACTGCACAGACAATAATAACCCCATAAGTTAACAGCATATAGCTATTTCAAGACTTTCAAGTATGTCTAAATGCATTCAAAAGGGGTATAGGCATCTAAGTTGCCATCATGACTGATAACTGAAGTAAAACTAGCGTGGTCGGTGGTCTACCATACAATTTAGCTATAAAACATAAAGGTAGCTACATATCCAATGCCCAAAGACAACGTATATCAAACAATAAAATTGATCCAATCATGCCACAATCTATCAATAAACGAAATACTTGAAAATCCTAATGTTGTTGGAATTATGATGTAAGAGTAATGCATATCTATATTAGTCCACACAAAATCAAATTTCAATCTTTTTTTTAAACAATATTCACAGTATATTCCAGTAGATAGAACTATATGATCACAACTCATAAATCACAACAATCATGAACAAACTGCATATAAGACAGATAATGCTTTGATTTCGAATTCGACATCGATAAACCAACACACAGAATCAAATAACAAATAAAGCAAACATCCAGGAACCAACCCACAAACCAATTACCCAGGAAATTGAATAAAAATAGGGAGTGAAATCAAAAGACAAACCTCTCCACCAAGATAACACATATCACCAGAAGAAGTCAAATTAGTATCATGAAAAGCAGATCGCCCAAGAACCCTAACCATATGAGGCTCAACCATAAGCTTCCCTCCTAATATCTTCAGAATTGTCGTCTTCCCTATTGCAAAAAACACAAAATTCAAAAACCCCACAAAAAAAATGAAGGGAAAATCAATGGAGGAGAGAGAAAGAGATGAAACCTGCGCCATTAGCACCGACGAGAAGACAACGATCACCGGGAAAAAGGGATAAAGAGAAATCCTGGATTAAAGGGGTGGACCCGGGAGGAGGGTGACCGTCGATTCCAGGGTAGGTGAATTCTAAGCCGTTGATTTCAACCATTGGAGATTGTGGGTCTGCCATTGTTGTCGGAAAACGGTGGAAATGAGTGTTGAAGAAGAGAGGAGAGGGAAGGTAGTTGGGTGGGTCGACGAGTAAAGTATAATGTGAGCGCCAAAATATAAAGGCAATGAAAAAGGGTGAAATGGAGAATGAATTGTTCAAGTTCAAGGCGTGGCTTTGTTAAGGCCCCTCAATCGAAATTTGAGGAGAGAGACTATTGTTAATTTGTTATTGTGTTAGGTTTGGACATAGAATTAGAGATTGTTTATGTAATTATTGTTTTGGTCGAACATATGTATTATGAGCAGTTGAGCACCCTATTAACCTTTCGATAAATATATGAGATACACATACTGGTTATTGGTATTGTAAGTTTGTACTTAATTTATAGGAGGTGATTGTCTTTTGATATGTTGGAACGACTGAACGAGAGTTTGAGCATTGGGGATTCGCATTTGAAAATACAAAAAAAATATGTCAATATCTTTTTATTTGGATAATACGGGGTAGATGAGAACGTGTAAGGAATAATATACACTTAGTGGTTACTAACATTACTTATGGAGCTTGGAATGTTAAAAAATAATAGGAACATGTTGGGTTTTTAGGGAAATTCATTTATACCAGATTTTGGGTAATTATATACTCTTAGACTCTAGTGTGGCTATCTATCCCTACACCACCCCCCCCCCACCCCCACCCCCACCCCTAAACAATGCATAAACAAACCCAACAATCCCATTTTCTGTAATTGTGTAGTAACTGAATAGTAACCACACTTTTTACCCACCTATAAATAATAAAAAAAATTAAAAAAAATAAAATTCAAATCAGCATTTCATTTCATTTCATTTCATTTCATTTTCTCTCTCCTTACCCATTTTCTCTCTATATACCCATTTTCTCTCACTAAACCCATTGATCTACTTTTTCAAACCCAAAATTTCTACGAATTTGAGACAAATTATCAATAAAAATTGTTCAATCACTGCAAAATTCAACAAAACAAGATTGAAATTCGAAGAATAAGTGGTTTTGTTCATATTTGGTTCAAAAAAGAGTATGAAACCTAGGTTATTTTTGTTGTGATTGTATTTCAAAACAATTATTGAAACATCAACTGTGGAAAATGCATCATGTAAGTATTTACTATAGTTTTAGTAACTTTTGTTCAAAAACTAGTAAATCAAATCATTACATTATTATTATTTTTTTTTTTGTACAATGAAGAAAACAGTTCCAGAGAAGGAAAACAAAGATTCTGAAAAAATGTAAGTATCAATAAAATTAATTCGTAGTGAAATTTTTCTTTTGATGAATGTTCATTTCCATTTTGATAAATGCTCATTTATACATTAGTATACTATCATTCACATGTTTTTTTTTAATTTTTTTTCCGAAAAAACTCTCATTTATTTAATACAAATGTTCATTCAATTCATATGTATTTAATAATTTATAGTCATTCGTGTAATAATGTTCAATTTTTCATAGTTTGAAGTGGAGAGTTATTTTGATGAATGTTCGTTTTTATTTTGGTAAATGTTCAATCACATAATAATACATGGTCATTCACAATTTCACATATTAATATACGATTATTAGAATATCAAAGGTGTTTGATGAATGTTCATTTTTATTGCAGTACGAAGGAAATAGTTTTAGAGAAGAACATAAAAAATCTGGAGAAAAGTAAGCATTAATTAAACTAGTTCATAGTGGGTTTTTTTATTTAATAAATGTTAGTTCTTTTCCATTTTGATAGATGTTCATTTGTATATTAGTATGCAATCATTCACATATTAATAGATGATTAATACAAATGTGTGTGTGTGTGTATATATATATATATATATATATATATATATATATATAACTACATAGTCATTGTATTAATGTTAATTCTTTTTCATAGTTTGGAGTGGAAAATTATTCTGATGAATGTTCATTTGTATTTCATGTTCATTGATTGATATCTTTCATAGGAATTTTTAAACTAATGCATGTTGATTTATATATTAATAGATGGTCATTTTAATATTCAATTATCTAATTATTTTCATTTATGTATTAAGAGTTGTTCATTTCCATATTAATGGATGATCATATCTATACTATTATATGTTCATTTATTTATTAATATATGTTCATTTCCATATATATCGATCATTTCAATTGTTCTACTATTCATATTCATATTCATATGAAAATTGGTTCATTTCAACACGTATTCTTGCTCAAATCTAACTAAAAATTCATTTGTTTTTATCTATTAGTTAAACAAAGAATCATAGATATAGTGAGTTACTTACACCATATAATAGCAAGGAGAAAAAAGAAGACGACAAAAATAAGGAAATTAATCAAGAAGACATGGATTTGCGCAACATGAACCAATAACACGAGCTTGTATTTTTCAATTTTGGATCGAGAATTCAATATGTATAATAACATGTGTGGAATTGTGTTGTATATTTTAATATCCAATATTTTAATTTTTGGTGATATAAATTTCTATTTGATTTGAATAAGAAGGAAATAAACTTTTTTTTTCCTAAAGTATTATTACAAATCACATCCTTCAAAAGCAAACATTTAAAAGGAAATAAACTTTTTTTCCCAAAGTATATATAATGTTCATATTTTTTGACGACTTATATAATGTTCATATTAGGAAAACAATATGTTCATAAACAAAAAACAAAATATTCATAACAACTTGAATTTGTGGTAGAGCATTTACAATTGTCGACTTTGAACCATTATTCACTAACTATATATATTAGAATATTTGACACTATCAATAGAAAATTGTACAAAAGCTAAACATTCAGTTCTTGTATCAAGTCTCTCATAGGACATAATATTTCTACACTTATTATCTTTCTAACAATCCTCATTTGAACAAATATATATTTTCATAGAAAATGAGTCATCCCTTTGCCTCTTACTACTCCCAACTCTGATTCCAAAACCTTTCAATTCATAAAAGCATACTCATTATACATTTCATATGCATCATCTTCAGAAGGAAATTGTTTTCCCCAAAAATCAAACTGACTTGCTTCTTCAAAAATAACAGCATTCTCTTTTTCCCACTGCAATAATTAAACATGTAACAAATGAAACATACAACAGCAATAATGGTTAGCCACAATAATGCATTTGATCAATTACAGTTAAATTACCATATGTAAAAATATATATATGATCATCTATAGTTACATAATTGAACATTATTTATGAAACTACAAAACATTGATAATCATTAAAAGTCACATGTACAACTTATAATCCCATAAAAACAAATATATATATATAAATGAACATTTATAATTGCATAATTGAACATTATTACAAATACACAAAATAACAAATTTTAAAATATGTTCACTAGTTAAAATATATATGAGCGTCTTTAAAAGAATAAAATCATTGAAATTCACGTGTACAACATTTATATTCAAATACAACTACAATAAACCTATATTTTACTGCAGAAAACATACATTAAACATAAATGAACATTGGATGATGGAAATGTTCACTTTCGTGTTTATGAAACAATTACATGTAATAGTATAGCTGTATGGAAATGCATTATTATTGTAATTAAATTGAATTTATTTTATATTGGAAATTATTTTTGACAACTCTTTATTTATATAAATACAATTCTAAGACGTATGTATTTGCATACATCTTACTATAAAACTTACACATAGCTCTTGAAGTGAACATTTAATGATACAAAAATGAACATATATTGAAACATGAATAAACAAAAATGTACATTGGATGATGCAACACTTCTAATAATAAAAATGATTTGAACACAACAATCCATATAAATAAATTTGCTCTCATTTTTATTGATAAAAAAATTCTTAAAATGCAATTCATAAAATATATTAATTTGAACAAAAACTCCTTATTGTAAAAATGAACATCTAATGATTTATAAATGAACATTTACCAATACAGAAATGAACATATTATAAAAAGTTTACAGAAAATTCATAAATGAAAAAGGGCGGGGACGGGGCACGCGCGGAGGGGGGTGCAGACAGTGTTCCCTACCGTAGAGTGTAGGTAAAAATTTGTAGATTTTAGGAGTGACGCAAATAACAAAAAAGAAGTTTATCAGAAGAGTCATTTGCGTCGCGCCTAGGAGTGACGCAAATGGCTTTTAAATCATTTGCGTCGCGAGCAGTTGCGTCGCTCATAGAAGCGACGCAAATACACTATAAATGAGCGACGCAAATGAGCCTTTTTCTACTAGTGGGGCCTTGCGTGCCGCATATCAAATTAGGGAAGTTCTTCAAGACTTGTCGGCTTGCAGAATTAGCAAGGTTCCCCGCTCGTGGATATCTCAGGCTCATTGGCTGGCAGTTCGGGCTCGTCATCGCCAGTTTCTTTCTTGGTCCTTTTAGGGTGTTTGTGTTTGTTAGTTTCTAGTTCACTTTGTAAAAAAAAAAAAAAAACATTACTCCTTTCCTGGTGCTCATTAGTGGCAATGTTTACATAATTACATGGAAACAAAGACATTCTTACTCGTACCTATTTTTTTCACTCTTATCATCTCATTTCTACACACTTTAACAAACATGAGATTATGTTATAATTGTGATAAAATTCTTATTTTACCTTTAATTCCCACATACCAAACACGTCAATAAGAAATTGAATTCAACAGCAAAAGTCTAAATTTTTATCCTCATACCACAATTTCCACTACATATTAGAGATAAATAATTAAAGAAATTTATTGATGACACGCAGTAACTAAAATTATGTATTGACAATCGTAATGAATTATGGAGTATGAGATCAAAATGAAACGGGAAAAGTATCATCACTCCTTAACAACTCACGGTGCTGGTATGAGATCAAAGTTGTAAGTTCTTATTCTAACTGCAACTTTTAAAGCTTGACCTCCACATTAATTTCTTTGTAATTTCATCATTTCGCTCCTTATTTCAAACGTCTCCAATTCTCAACTAAACCCCAGAAAAATTAGGGTTGAATTGAGGTCTCGGCAATTAGGATTATTGTCTGAATTTTCCGGATCAATTGGAATCCAAAAATGGCGGCCATTTATAGCCTATACATAATCAACAAATCTGGAGGTCTCATTTACTACAAGGTATTCCTAATTTCCATCTATCTTTGTAATTATACACATTAATAATTTTGTTCTTGAAAAAAAATGAAGCTTTATTGAATATTCTGTTGTGGAATTTAGGATTATGGATCAGCTGGTAGAATGGACACGAATGATACATTGAGATTAGCGAGTTTATGGCATTCAATGCACGCTATTTCTCAGCAATTATCGCCTGTTTCGGGTTGTTTTGGGGTTGAACTTCTCGAAGCTGATACCTTTGATCTTCATTGCTTCCAATCTCTCACTGGTAGAATCTTTACTCCGGTTATTTTTGTATGGAATATTCAATTTCATGTTTTGATGGAAATTGGTTTTGTCAATTGTGTTGATCTTTTGTTTTAAGGGGTTTGTGAGTACAATTTGGAGATGTGAATATGGAGTGAGTGTGATTGTGGCTCGTTATTGACAGTATTGGTTATGAAAGACAATAAAAAAAGGACTAGAATTTATTGCCAATTCGATCTTTTCGTAGAGCGGGATGGAATTAGTTTTAGATTTTGTTGTGAAAATCTTGCAATGCACTTGATTTAGATTTGTATTGGAAAACCTATCATTTGGCTTGCTATAAGATTGAACGTGAAAGTATTCGTTTGTGATTCATTAGGGGTGGAGTACAAAGCTTTTGTTTGTTTGATACGTTTATCTCTGTGGCTTAGATGTTAGGGAAGTTAAGAGGAGCATTGATTTTTCTTTTAATTGCAGATGGGTAGTTTCTGTTATCTCTGGGGTTTTGTGATCTATAGCAATGAGTGGCATCATCCAGGAAAATGAATAGGGCATAATGATTTAGGGGTGTTTAGGTGGAGGGGGAGAGTGTTGAGGTAGACATTATCAAATTGAACCTGGATGTTTTTGCCTAAGATCATCATGAGACCTATTAAGTACAATGATAAAGATCATCAGATTAACCTTGAAACTTATGGCACCACTGTTTTTGTATTATCTCTGATTAACTAGCATTAGGGTTTTAATCACAAGAGATCTAATGTTAGAGGTTGTTAGATAGGGCTTATGCTTTTTCCTGCACTCGTCATTACCAGGAATTTAGATTGGATGAAGCTATTCTTGAAAGCATGGAACGTACCCTAGCTAATAATAGAGTGGTTTTACTGTCAATTATGGTTCTAGACTCCTGTAATTACTAAGAGTATCAACTAGTCAAGCAGGATTTTGCTCATGTGTTTAGCAGGAAACTGGGATTTGGAAACTACTGTGGTGTTTAGTTTTTCTGAAGCTCGGAGAAGTGCAGAGTCATGATAGGGGCATTGAAGCTTGTAGTGGTAGTTATTACGTAGGAAAGTTTGCAACTTTGATTTGCTTTCAGAGAATCATTTAAAAATATGTATCGAATTTCTTCATGCATTTGAGTATATGATTTCAGCATTGCTGTTTTTGGGATAGCTGCCTTTTTCTATATACACTCTACTTAATTGCCAATTTGGTGAGTGGGGTTGGGGTGGTAAGGGTGAACTGGCTAGGTCTGTGAGGGTGTGGTTGAGAGCATTGGTAGGTACTGTTTAAAGCAATGGAAATGTAATCTACGATCGATTGCTGATAATTCCAAAAATGGCTGGCATTAAGTATTAATTACCATCCTGTATCTTAGTGTCGCATGTGCCTTATATAAACATGTTTCTTGGAGTGATCCAAGAATCTACTGAACATCCTTGTTGATGATATCCAAACATGGCCTTTTGAATTTATTACCATTGACGAGGGCATGATTTATTACCTTTGACGTCCAAAATGTATTGTTTTTATGTTTCTTGTGGGAACAAATTTCTTTGTTTTATGTGAACCCAGAACACAACATATACTAGTATATACTACTTTCGATCTCACCAATATTCACTCTTATCATTTTTAACGTACTAAAACGTAACTATGTTCACATAGTGAGAGGGTAAGTGTGTGCTTCGTAGTGTGAATGTGTGATTCATAGCATGAAACATACGATGCATCAAGAATTGCATAGTAGGAACATGTGATGCTCATGTAGATTGGTTGGTAGATGTTTAGTCTCTGTTATCTATGGGTTTTTGTAACCTATAGGAATGAGCGGCATCGTTTGTGAATTTGAAAAGGGCATAATGATTTAGGGGTGTTTGGGGGAGAGAGGGGAGGGGGGGAGAGAGACAGTGTGTTGAACGAGACATTGACCATATTGAACCTGGATGTGTTTGCCTAAAATCACCATGAGGCCAACTAAGTACAATGATAAAGATTATTAAATTTACCTTAATCTTATGGCACCACAGTTTTTGTATTATCTCTGATTAACCTAACACCAGGGGTCTAATCTCAAAAGATTTAATAGGTTGCTAGATAGGGCTTATACTTTTTCCTGCACTCGCCATTTCCAGGACTTCAGATTGGATGGAGTTGTTCTTGAAAGCATGGAATGATGGAAACTTGTAGTTATTGAGAGTAGCAACTACTTAAGCAGGATTTCACTCGTGTGTTTAGGTGGGAATTTGGATTTAGCAACTATTATAGTGTTTAGTTTCTGGAACTTGGAGAAGTGTGCAGGTTCATGATAGATTGATAGGGTGCCCTTATAGCTTTAGTTATTCCGTGGTAAAGTTTGCAATGTTGCATGGCTTTCAGAAAAACATTTGAAAATTTATCAGTATTTTTTTCAAGCTATTCAGCCGATTTCAGGATAGCTGCCAGCCTTCTATATACACTCTACTTAATTGCCAATTTAGCGAGTGGGGTTGGGGTGGTAATGGTGGACAAATTAGGTCCGTGGTTGGGGGCATCGGTAGGTACTGTTTGAAGCAACGGAACTGTAATCCACGATTGATTTCTGATATTTGACATATTTCCAAAAATTGCAGGCATTAATGTTAACTAATGTCCTGTTTCCGAGTGTCATATATGCCTTATATAAACATGTTGCTTGGCGTAATCTAAGAGTTAATTGAAGATCTTTGTCGATGACGTCTAATCTTGTCCTCGTAAATTTGTTAACTTTCAGTTGAAAAGGGAATGATCTATTACCATTAAAGAGGGCATGACAATAATTATTTACGTCCAAATTCTGTTGTTTTGATGTTTCTTGCAGGAACAAAGTTCTTTGTGGTATGTGAACCTGGAACACAACATATGGAGCTTCTCTTGAAGTACGTTTATGAGCTATACACAGATTATGTGCTAAAGAATCCTTTTTATGAAATGGAGATGCCTATACGCTGTGAGCTCTTTGACATCAACCTTACTCAAGCTGTGCAGAAGGATCGTGTTGCTTTGCTAGGCCGATGATTGATCTTAATCACTCAAGACAAAACTACCAGTTTTGTAAATTTGCTCCTATTCAACTTTTCTCTCATTACGTTTCATGATATTACAGTCTGCTGCGCGTTTTTAGTTTGTCTTGCTGATGAGTAGTTGTAAGAGGATGCCCTCTTTCTGGAATCAGGCTGTCTGGTATGTTAACTGCAGATACATGGGGGTATCAGAGTATAATGAATTTGTCTTTGCAGTAATTGGGTATATTGGAACTTTGGAAGGATTGTGTTATCATTCTAAATGACCTCTACAAACGATTTGTATCTCGGTTAGTATAAGGGCTTTTTATTTTATTTACTACGGAGTAGTATTTATTTATTTTTGGCCATCATAAAACGTTATTATAAAATTAAGACAAGCGAAACTTATACACTAACCATCCTACAATTTATTTCTTCAATGCAACATCGTCAAATATGTCCTACAGTCTACCTATCATTTAATGTTTATAAATTGCATGTAATTGATCCAATAATAGAGGACTTTAAGAATAATTTCTCCAACTTATTGCATTAACAATAATTATGACCTTAATCATAGAAGTTAACTAGTAATTGCAAAGTGTAATGTGCATTTGTTTTTAACTCCTCCTTTGTACTTCACTACTTGTCTACTTCATATTAATTCCTCTATTTTATTAAGTTTTATCATTATTATTTTTATGTTTTTTTTGAAAACATTATTATTTTTATGTTTGTTAATGCACAACTTTACCATTAACATTTTTAATAAAATCTTAAAAAGTTGATATTTGAGAAACATATTGAGACCAAATCAATACCATTTTACGTGATTATATTTGTATTTATATATTAATTAAAAGAAAAATGTTTAAATCAAAACTTAAAAATGAGGTTTGTGAATAATGCAAAAAATCAAAACGCACGATCATAAAAAGAAAAGAGAAATACACTTATAAATTTTCTTGATGATGCTACTAAATAATTGAAACACGATACTTAAAAGAAGAGCACCACATGACAGATAAACTAAATTGAAAACGACTTTTATTCTTCACGATAGATTTTCCGGCCTAAACTTTGTTTGAGAGACAATCATGTAACAATATAAGTAGCAGTTATGACAGCCATAGTAATTAAAATCCTCATCTCCCTATTCCTCTCATTAAGAATTTCAAGAGCATGGGTAGGAACTGTAAAAATGGTAACACACTTAGCCTGAGTCCTAGGCGTATCCCATTCATAAGCAATCATCTGTTCATAATTACCTTGATTAAAATCCTCAAAAGCAAGATCAAAACTTTGCTTAAGAGTCAAGTATGCATCCTCACACACCTTATAGTAGTCTAGCTCTTTATCCTTTGCCCCTGGGATTTGAGCCCTTATGTATTCCAATGTGTTCGAGGCGTTCCTTTGTGCCTCCATGATTGTGATCTTCGTCAACCCCACGTAGTCCATGTCCGGTTTTGGGACATCGGCATGGAAGACCTTGTTACAAAACCCATAGTCTTCATTAGACCTACAAATGGAGTCAATTTTGTTTTGGGTTTCAGGGCTAACTGGAGAATTCACAATGGAGTTAAATAGTATTAGTAATGTAGTTGCAAAGGGAGCTAAAAGACTGAAAACTTTCAACATTTTTGAGTTTGATTGGTGTTTTATATGCTTTGGTGAGCTTATTGTTTGAAAGTATACAAAGGCGCTAAAGGGAAGATGCTGCGCTTTATTGAAATGAGAACGGAGGGAGTACTAGTTATATAATAGAGGGGTTGTTGAGTGTGAGAATATAAAGATACCAAGTATTTGCCATTTAAGGTAACCTAAGATTTTACCCTTTGAATGTTTATGATCAAATATTTACAATAAGGTATGTTTTTTGTGACAATAATGTTGAGATGACCAGGTGCAATTTACATGATTTAATGACGATGAATGCAAATTGCAAAATATATTTCAAAATCTGGTAATTTCTTCTCAAAAATCATTAATCTCTTACTAAATTTGGTAGAGAAACGAAGATTAATTATTGTTATCTTAAAGATACCAGGCTGGCTTAAAATTATCTAGCTAGTTCATATTTTATTTAATTAGGTTTTGTATTTATTTTTTAAAATCAAATTGGATTATATTTGTTGTCAAAGTATCAAAAAATGATAGCCATTAGTACGTACATGATTTAGGGGGATCATACTAGCTAGCACCGTTTCATTTGAGATCCTTATATATCAAAAACAATTTACCTATCTTGATTGATCTCCAATATCATTTTATACATTACATGTATGGTCCAATCAATTAATGTTTAAAGAGCCACAAGGGCAGGGTGAGAATCGATCCCAAGATCTCTTGGAATTGGGAGGGAACTTAACCACTAGAGCTATCCCTCACTCCCAATCGATCAATGTGATTCGTACTAGTATATTATTTCCCCACTAATTTGATACATTTACACCTATTATATGATCCATTAAGATAGTCATAAACTCTTAATGATATGCAATTATTTAAAATTTAATTTTTTTTTTCAAAAGAGAATACAATAATTAATCTATCCATTTGGATTTAGATTGAATTAAAGATTGTAATAAAAGAAAATAATAGAATTAAACTTTCCATAATTTAGGTTACCATCGAGTAACATTTCATCACTTGATAATAAAGATTTGCACCTAATAATTTATTTAATTATAAGGGGTATAAAAATACGAATTGTATCCGGAAAACATATAAAGAATGTATAAATTTAATTAAAAAAAATCCTAAACCAAAATTAGAAGGAAAAATAAAGGATAGCCAAATCAAAATTTCTTCTTTCTATTAAATAAAAAATAAAATTAAAAAAGTTTAGTAAAGTGTAATAAAAATTCCAGTGTAACATAAAAAAAAAACTCTATTAGCTAATCCTGTACTGTTATCCATCAATTAACGCTGGTAAGACTGAAGCATGCAGCAGCAGTTTTAAGTTCATGATTTTGAGAAAATGTTTCCATTGATTGTATGCTGTCCTTCATTGTTGACTCAGCACTGCACAACATAAACATTTGATAATTATCGATAAACTATTTTATTTTATTTATTTATTTGAATTCTATTAAAAAAAATATATATATCAAATGCTAATGGTAAGAGCATTACATAGGCATGAAATAAGTACCATTGGTTGTAAGTTTGTAGCATTCCGTACAAGATCCAACCAACCATAAAATAGATAATTATCAATTTTTCAAAATTGCAAAAAACATAATCTCTTGGGAAAAAAATAAAAAAAACACTTACAACTTGCTATAAATAGATCAGATAATTATCATAATTGTGAAAAGTATAATTTTAGAAAAATATATGCTTCTAGTATTTTCTCTTCATCGTAATTAAAAATACAATATTCATTAAAAAAAATTAGGAAAAAAATAAGATTAATTTAGTATACTTCAAAATCATTAATTTCGAATAAATATTCATTTAATTTTCAATGAGTAAAAATAATACTCCTTTTGTTTTAGAAGTGACACGCTATCTTTTGCACAAGGTTTTAAGAGAATTATAAAATAATGTCAAGTGTAGTGGTCTTTACTTATTTTTGCGGACTTTACATATATTTATGTTGAACTTATATTACGTACATAGTATTTGAAATGAAAACTATTGTTAGTTTGTTAGTAATATGTCTTCCTAATAGCAATCAGAGGAGAAACCCATGAACATATTAAAAAAGCTTCCCATTTCATAATAAAAATGAACTCAAAAAGAATTTAATACATTAATATACTTTGGGATGGTAAAATACATAAATACTTCGTAATATACTATGAGAATTTATACAAAATGAGGGAAATTAAAAAAGAAAAAAAAAAAAAGAACTTTCTTGATTGTTATACTTGTACAGGAAGAACAAAGTACTTACCTTATCATAATACTTGCAATCAAGTTCTTTGAGACCCACTTTATTAACATAGAGATTAGAGAGGTTTAATGGTTAAATTAATTATACGAGTAATTACTTTACATATTAGAAACCTTCTCATGTTGGGTGTCAAATTAAATAGCTCAATTGCAAGTATTATAAAGCGAAGAAAATATTTATATGTGATTTAATAAGGTTAAAAGAACGTAATCTTAAATTCAAAAAACAATATAATAACCATAGAAAATTGTAATTTATTGAAATGAGTTGGACAAAATACGCACAATACATATATACAAAAGACGAATACCTTGATTCACAAACACCCTTGGACTCGATGTATGATTGTTGATCATCAGCAATTGTATCGAAAGGCAAATCATCATAATGATTATGAGATATCTCATCAAGTTCTTGTTGTAGAGGAATTCCTTGTGAAATCATAAATTGTTTCATTTCATTATTACTAAAACTATTAACACAATAGTTATTATTGGCACCATATTGTTGTTGTTGTTGTTGCAATAACAACGAAGGCTTCACGTCTTCATTTGGTTCAGCAAACGCAACATCCTTGTCACCTACAAGAAATTTGTTCGGGGCTAAGTACATATCAACGCTAGACTGATGATGCGGGTTATAACTAGTATTTGGGGCCGAGTCTAGTTGAAGTTGTGAAGGTTGGATAGAGGATGGGTGGGTAGGATCAACCGTTACAAGGCCATGGCCTAGACTATGTTCTTTATTTTTTAATATAGCTAGCCACGATTGAACGTAATAAAGCTCCTCTTGAAGTCGACTCAATCGATCATTAAGTTGCCACATAGCAAAAGAACAACCATAAACAGGATGCCTTTGACGCATTTCACACTCATATATAATAGATTTCATAGCCTCGTCTTTTAGGTCTTTGGTATCTAGTTTTTTAAGTATTTTGGTGATGTTACACACTCCGTACAATCGATGGGCACATTGGAACATCTTAGGGTTATCGGCGGGGAAATAAGGGGCTAATAGACAATCGGGGGCACATTTTCGACGTTGGAACCTGCAAGCTGCACAAGCTTGGCTTGTACCTCCCTTTATTGTCATCAAGAGACCAACAATCACCAAATATAGTAGATGCTTAATTTGGAAAGGAGGCATAGATTAAAAATTGATAGTGTTACGTTGGAATTATCAAAATTTTTAAAAGAGAATAATGACATTGGTTAATAGAGGTTAGTTAATATATATATATGTGGAGAAACAATCAAGATAAATTTTATTTTATTTTTTTGAAATTGAGGAATTATCAAGATGATAATGATAATAACAAAAAAATTAAAAAAATTAAAAATTAAAAAAAAATTGAATAAAAAAAAAAAGAGTCTATTTATATTTTTTTTTTTTTTTTAAAAATACCTAGTAAAAATTCAAATAATTAAAACCTCAAATCCTAGTCTTAAGGAGTACGTGCATAAAATCCTCAACGTTGGATATTTTGCATAATATACTGACGTCTAACAAACAATTTGGGTTAAATTAATAATGTCACATAGTCAGAAATTGTGTGGTTGTTCTATACGAATATTCTTCTTAATTCTTAAATAAAATCTTGAAACAAGCTTAAGGTAAGAAATACTCTAGAAACATCCTTAAACAAATAAACCAAATTTATAGGAGGAAACTCATACAAAGTAACCACGTCTTAATGTTTCTGTTACTATAAAATTTTCTGTTACTATAAATTTATAGAATAGTTCATAATCTTTAATTTAGACATTATTGTGCACAGTTTATATAATATTATATACTTTTACAATACAATTGTTACAACATATTACAATACAATTATATTCAACGCATTTTGCTTGCAATATAATGTCAATATTGGTGGATATATTAGATTAAAACAACGCGAAAGAAGAGACGAAACATCTTAATGTACATAGATATTATTGAACCATCAAACGCCTAATAGAGTGAGTCCACAACTTAGAAATTCTAGGAATGGATAAGTCCTGAGCTTGAATGGATAAGTCCTGAGCTTTTAAAACTCTTGATTTTAAGAGTGAATGAATCTCCAACTCTAATTTATGGATTAAGTCCACAACACACGATATCGTGTGAGCCCTGCCAAATAGCTTTAGAGAAACCGAAATTGAAAGTGAATCAATACTAGTGTGTGGTGCAATGACGGTTCCAGGAATTGCTGGTTATGAGTTTGGATAATGCTCGTTAGCAAGTGGTGTGTCATATAAATAATGATATGGATTAATGAGAATTAGGGCAGATTTAATCCCGTAATCTAAACTTTACAATAACACTTTAAATTATGTTCCACTTACAACGTAACATGAGAATTATACTGTGCTTTCTTCATAATTCATATGTGTATTGCTTTCTACAATTTATGATCAAGGATTTTCTGTTATTTTTACTTGATTTTGATCACTTCATGATGAAGTTGGAATTAATGGAGGATAAGCAAGTACGAATTTTAATACGAATAAACTGATTTGTAAGCGATAAATCTGTAAAAATTTCATAATCTACCAGAAAAGAGTTAAACTCTCAAAACTGTTATCATTATAAACACGTTTTTTAAAAAAAAAAGAAAGAGAAACACAGTCTTCTAATGATGAGTAAAACATTTAATTGTCTAAACAAAACCCTAATACAAAAATTAGGCAAAAATAAAATCCGAAATATATTAAAACGTTGTTATCGGATTGTCTATGTTATTGTGGACCCGAAGTTTATACACACGCAACTTTTATTATTTTAAACATAGTGACCCTTAGTTTTTACATATTAACCTTTATTAAATCTAGTATAACATTTAATATTATTGTGAACTTAAAATACAACATTATGACCCTAAATTTAACATAGTGACATTTATTATTCAAATTAACCAGTATATAAAATATTACATTAAAAAATTAACCTCTTATAGCCTATATATTACCAAAATGACTTTTAATTTATTTCAACGTAGAGACCTTTTTCTATTATAATGACCCTTTTTTTTTAACTAATAAAATAACTATAATTTCCCTAATTTTAGTGGTATACGATAAATTAGTGTGAACCAGGTTCATTTAAGAATTTGTACACAAGCTAATCTGCCTAAGTCACTTCGATTCATTGTCAAGATTTATACTTTATTGTATAATTTTTCTTTTTTATTTAATATATATTTCCTTTACAAAATAAATAAAACTTAATAATTTAATATACATATAAAGTAACTTCAAAAAAAAAAAAAAGGTAGCTCGATCAATTAAATAAGTACATACTATATTTAGTCTCGACCACTTTTATATTCATTTTCTTCTACTGTATATAAACTGATCAATCTCAATTTAAAATTTAACAAGTTTCATTGTATTGTATACTTAAATAACTTGAAAAAATAAATGTTAATTATAAGCACCAATTGAAAATAAAATTGTATGAAGTATTTCTTTTTCTAAGATTATGGATTGCTCACTGAAAATCATAAGAAAAAGCCAGACAAACAATACCTTGGTCTATAAGCATAATTACTCCATTAATTCATTATCATTATTGAACAAGGCATAAATAAAATTCTATGCCTGTCCAAATTTTGTAGTAATACACACTCAATCTATATTAATCAGGTCTATCCGGTATAATATTTCAGATAAGACCACTTGATTGTACAAGAAAAAACTTTAAAGCATAATTCCAATACAAATTATATGATACATTAGTTTCATATTAGTACATAAATGGAGTGATTAATCCCTTTAAGCTGCCGATGGTGCCAACATATAATAAGCATTACTAAACTCAGATAATGCTGCCTTCAACAATTGAAGCCTTGCTTCCTCTGGCTTGTAATCAAGTGATTCATCATCGTAAATCTCCCACCACTTGCTCACGAGCATCTTAATGTCTTCTCTATCCATGTTCTCTTCCTCTCCGGTATACCTCCAAGGTTTTGATCCCTAAAATTGAGGTATTCTAGTGAGACGATTGAAGGATACATAATAATAAATGTGTTTGAACTAAATAGTCACGTTATTAGTTAATGTAACAATATTAAACGTGAAAAGTAATTCCGAATAAAGTAAACAAAAAAAAAATGTTATATACTTACTGCAGCACAATAGTGAACCACTTTCGCTTCCTTAAGTTCAATGTTTTCAGGATGACGCCATAACATGGCTAAAACAAGGTTGTAAATTGGTGGGATGGGCTGATAGACATCCTTGAAGTACATGTTCAAAAAGTCCTGCATGTGCATCACAATTCACATATCAACTAAAGTTTTGGTTAATTAAATAATAAAAAAATGTAATATTGTAAAAATAATAGAACGAATTCATTATTTTTTTTTTTTTTTTTTTTTTGAGGGAATACAAATTCATTATATAAGTTTACCTACATACTATTATTAAAGATTTTACCAATTAATCTAGCTAAAAACCGCTACATGTGAAACATATAAGTTCGATACGAATAGTTTTAAGAATACTAGTATACTTGTAAAATTTACCTGTTCAGCAAAGGGAGTGGGCTCGGTGACCTTGAGTTTGTCGAGGAGATCATGGTAAATGGACATTTTGGGCTCAAAAACAAACATGCCAGCATTGAAGTAAAGAGCGGGCTTTGGGCCCAACTTGTCTTCGGCCCATTGGACCTTATTTGGGCATTGTTGGCAATACCCAATCTTATATTGAGGAGTGTGGCTCCAAGTCTTCTCACAAAAGCAGTCCATCACAGCGTAAAAATTGCCATCGGGTAAGTCAAAGAGATGGTCAATGTTATCAAAAACTTGGATATCACCATCCAAGTAGATCATCTTGCTAAACTCCACAAACTGTCATTTTTAAAAGAAAAATTTAAATTAAAATCATATCATGTCTTTTGTTCATTAGAATAATTATTTTTTTTTTTGTAAAAAGATGACAAAAACATCGAAATTAAAATATTCTTAAAATTTACCATTTAAAGTCAAAAGAATTTTACTCTGTATGCTTTTTTTAAAAGGAAAATAATAGGATATAGGATCGTATACTTTTTTGTCCGTAATAAGCTTATGAATATATACCTTTTTATATATCACGTTGAAATGACTTCTTTTTTTGTTACTCTTTCATAGATCTAGGAGTCACAACTCAATTTACCAATATGTTCTTTAATATAAATCAAAAAATATAGTTATTAATTTAGAATAAATGATACGAAGTATATAGATTTCAATAGGAAAAATTCCTGATGAGGAATTTATTTAAATTGACCCTAATAATCGTAAAAGTTGTATATATATATATATATATATATATATATATATATATATATATATATATATATATATATATATTTTGTTCAAGGGCATTTTTTTTTAATCATCAACTTTCTTTTAAGCTTAACTTAATAATACCAAGATTACCAATTACTCACGTTGGATACAAAGTAGTACTTTTATAATCATATATGCATGCAACATGCTTGAGTGCTTGACCTAAAGAGACATGTACGTACGTATGGAAAAAATAATATTAAGCAATAAGGGCAATTGTGGAAAAAAAGTAGTAATTTAAATAAAAATTAAAAAAAATAGCCAATTAAATTAACATAATTTACCTCCCAAATTCTGAGCTTGGAGTAGTTGATGACATAGTAAGCCATAGCAAACTGAGTCTGATTTTCAGGAGGATAAACCGGCTCAATTTCACGAACTATGCAACCTTGAGACACTAATATGTTACGGTGTTCCTCCGGAACGTCGGGCAAGACCGCCACCACCAAGGGGCAACGACTCTTGGCTTTCCTTAAGCCCTTAGCAAGCCCTACAACTCCCTTGACATAGTCACCGTTACCGGCTAAAAATGTCACAAAAGCTCTCATTTGGGTGTTATCTTCAGTGTTCATCATCATCATGGTTTCGAGGTTCATGATTTTGGAACCCATTTAATTTGAAGAATTTAAGAATGATTTGTGTTTTAAATATGTGTTTAATTTGTTTGTGTTGTTGTTTGGAAAGATATGTGTTTTTAAAGTATTGTGTAATGTTTTTGCATGGTTTAGAATTGAATAGAGGATTTGTTATATAGAAATTTGAAGGGGTGGAAATGTAAGTTCACCTTACATTAACTTTCCACGTGTCCTTATCTATTTTTACGTGTATTTATTTTGTTTAGATTCACACTCAAATAGTCAAACACACAGATTCAATTACACTGAAATATTTTACTTATCCCTCTACGCGAATTGACTATAAAAATTATGTTTATTGTTGAAGGTATCCACTATCTTATATCGTTATCTATAATTATGATCAATTTAATTT